GCAACCTTGATTGGTTTCCCTTAGTCAGCTTCCCTCTACTTGGTGGTTTGGAGACGGTGGTTTGGTGGTTAAGGGGTGGGAAGCCCGATTTACCCACTACAAGAACCAGGGGTTCAATTCGACAAACCACCAATCCAAACCACCAATGAAGGGTAGCCTGACTTAGGGAGCCGGTGTCTGCAAAAAAGCAGTGTTGCCCAATCCTAAAGGACACCCAGCCGCTAATCCTAAGTTGCCAAGTGCCCTTGACGGAAGAAGTGAACCTCTTGAGGTGGATTCCAGCAAACAAACAGGAGTTTATTCCCGGATCCACTGAACAGCTGGGTCACATTCACATTGAGCAGCACCCGCTGGCGTTCCCAAACAAAGTGCTTCAAGAAGGCCCTTTGTAGCCGTCTTATGCAAAGCAACACCCAAGAGCTCTTTGGGGGGGTCGGCTTAGCTCCTATTCCCAACCCTGCGCCAGGAATGACTGTGGGGGACCGAACAAATTAAGCTTTGTCCCAACCCTCCAACTCCACAAAACACTTGTCCAAGAAAACGAAATGGCAACATTAGCATGTATCTTAGGTGCTGTAGATCCCCCAGATCAAAGTTTAACTTTTTGCTGGTTGAAAGGAAATATGAGGGGAATCCAAAAAGATGAAGTCTAAAGATCCAACAGCAGTGGAGCTCTGCCTGCAATCATCGCCTGTCTCTCGCGTCCAAAAACGCGCCAAGCCGCCGCCGCTCGAGCCAGGGCTCCGCGGGCGCGGGTTTTGCGGGCGCCGGTTTGGGCGCAGATTGCGGGGGCAGCTCGTCCCAGAAGCCTGAGACTCCGACGACTGGAAACTGAAAGGCGATCAAACAGGCTTGTCTCAAAAGGAAGCCAGTGTTGGCGTCCCTTTCATTTTCCTTTAAACCACCCCAAGAGGCGTAACACAAACCCACACAGGTTGCAAACCCTCCAGTATTGGTGGTGTCCCTTTACTTTCCCTTTAAACCCACCCAAAACAGGCGTAACCTAAACTCAGGTTGCGGCTGGGAACAAAGAAACAGTATCACGGACACATATGACAACAAATGGTGTGTGTGTGTGTGCTTGTCCACCGGCAACGTGCGGATGGCTGTTTACAGTTGACTAAACCAATGCCAACTCATTCAAAATATCCTTCGATGGCTTGACGGGGTTTGAATCGTGGGGTCTGCAACATAAAGCAACAACTATATTGCCTCTCTATATACATATATGATGTATACCCTTGTGACTTCCTTGTGGGCAATCCTATCGGACCGACCTTTTGTGGGTCCATGGTAGTTTGTAGGAAGTAACCTTGTTGTTTTTTTTTTTTTGATGTGACTCAAATGGAAAGCCCAGGACCCCAAAATGTCAAAGAATGATTCAACTCAGAGTGGCAGCGATCTCTCCCATGAAACAAAGTTCATGGCATCCTACAAACAGCACCCCTCTGTGGAGGAAACTCCCTTTAAATTGACCGCAAGGAGAAGCAACCATATTTGGGTGTCGTTTGTTAGGAATTGGACGCCCCCTGACAGGAAATTGCTTTCCTTTTGGCTTCCCTTTGAAACAGACCAAACATGGGTACCAACTCTAAAAAAGACAGACCCATTTGGAACCTTGGCATGTCCAAGGCGCCATCGTCGTCGCTCTGCGGCGCTTGGCTGGGCCTGAATTTGGAGGCGCACAACGAGACACACATGTGCACGTGCTTTTCTGTTTGGGTACCATGTTGAGGGTTGTCTCAAGCTCCGGCTGGACCGCTAGGGCCGCTACGGCGTAGCGAAATCCCAACATGGCCAGGGCCAACTTGGCCATTCTGCAGTGTTGCTACTTCACTTGGGTAACCTAGCTCGCTCTTGAGAAAATTCCCCCTTTTCGTCGATATGGGTTCGAAACAATTCGAGACCCCGGCAGTTCGTGACAATAACAAGGGAGCAGTCCCTTCATGGAGCATTTTGTCTGGCCAAGTTCTAGGGAAGCTTCAAAACATTCGATTCGAGAGCTCGTTTTGCTCCCAGGCAAGCTCGAGCTGCCCAATGGCTTGAGCGAACACAAGCTCTGTTTTAAACGCATTCATTTTTGGTGTAACGGTTGAAACAAGTTTCAAAGGCTGTACACCGTCGTTTCAATCCACCATTAAAACAATGGGGGGCCCCATTATTTACCCAATCTTTTAATAGGAATCGGTTGAACCCCAAGACTACCCCATCTCCGAAGGAAAAAATAAAAACTAATAATATAATAATAATTATTATTATTTGTATTTTGTTTTTTATTATTATTATTTTTTAAGGATGGGTCGTCATGGCCACCGGCCCAGGGCTCCAAACTCTGCGCGCTCACTCCGCTGCCACCGCGGCATGGCTCCGTCAGCCCTCACTTCCGGAGGGCCAAAGGGTTTTCGCACCTGCGGTTTTGGGAAAAAGAACTCGGTTGCCTTCTGCTCCCCTGCCAAAAGTTTTTAACTTTTAGTGGTTTAATGGAAAACCCGTTTGTTGGCAAAAAATAAAGTCCTAACATCCAAGAAAAATGCACCCAAGGAGACATGGTCACCCCTCAGCTTCCCCCCAATTGGTGGTTTGGAGCGCAGAGGTTTGGTGGTTGAGGAGGGGTTTCCCATTTACCCTCAAGAAGCGGGGGCTCAAATCCCAAACCAGCAATCCCAACCACAACCTGAATGGTCACCCCAGAAAGCAGCGCCCTCAGAAGATCCAAATGAAGCCTCCCCAGCAAGAAACATCTCTAAAGTTTTTAGACCTCCAGGAAAAAGTTCAATTATTTTTGTTAAAGGAGAAGTCAGCATATCAGAAGTCCAGAAACCCAAAATACCTCCAAGAAGCCATTCCTACAAGCCTTCCGCTGCTTTGAAAGTGCAAACGCAATGATTCACACAGGCGTGTGGCACTGAGAAGCAGGTATGAACATGTTCCAAAACAACTAGCGCTACATTGGATGTAATGAAACAAAAAGGCAGTTAACAGTTAATTAGATATTGCTTGGCAAGTTTGTAGCCATCCCTTAGAGCAACTTGCCAAGTGATCAGTCGGCTGCCTGTCACCCAGAACGCGTCTGGTATTATTTTTGGGCGCCTGCAACTTTATTGGGTGCAAAATAGAGAGGCTGGAAAATCACAATTATCCATCTTTTTGGGGGTGGCTTCTTGAGGATTCAGCACTTACTCATGACACCCATGGGCAAGTCAGCACCCACTTCAGATGCTCTGCGTGTGATTCTGAGCAAGCGGCGACAGAGGTGACAGAGAAGTCCGGAAAGCCGACATGACCATGATACCAAAGTGGCCAAAGTGGTATCACTGTGTCACTTCGGAGGATCACATAAAGTTGGCCCAAAACCCAATTGCCCCTAACCATGACCAATGATACATGTGAAGCGGTCAACGCAATCATGGTATGAACCACAGAATGAGGGTGGCCCGCAGGTAATCAAATAAAGCAGGCAACTCCTGGACATGGCATGCCTCATCAAACTCTGTTCCTTCCCCAATCAACATCTTTCCCTTTATTTATATATATATATACACATATCGTTGCATATCTGCCTTGATTTCTTGTAAGAATTACTTTTGGTTGTGAATAAAGCTGCGAGGCCAGGAAAGAGAAATGAACCATCAGTGGAGAGACATATTTTCAGAACCGGACATTACCCGAAGGTTAGTTTCACTTCTGCCTCTCAAGCTCGCAAGGAAAAGCCTACAGAGTTGCCTTCGTGTGTCCGCATATGATCCGTACAGCAACTCCGGATTGAGGGACCTCCAACTTGGATGTTCTTTCCACCCCGTGAGCCCAGCTGTGCCGGAGAGGCTTGTTTGTTTGTGTCCTGGTGGGGGGGTCTCTGAAAGAGGAGCCTCCAGGCGATGGATCTCCTTTTTGGATTTCGCGGGGTACATTCTTCAAAGCGGCCAAGGAGCTTGGTCGAAAAAGGGACCCCCCCCATCACTTCGCGTGGGGAACCCACGCAACACGCGAACGGGGTGCCACAACTGGAACTTCCATTTGGGTAAGACCCCTGGAAAAAAAAAGGTTCCAGTAGTGATAAACTCCTTTTAACACCAACAAGGGAAAATAAACATATTCTTAAGCAAATGGAAGGGAAGGGAGGTTTTCCAGTGCCGATTCTCAGCCCTCGCCTCATCGAGTCGTCTGCCGCACTGCTGGCAGTAGAGCGCCCCTGCGCGCGAGACCTCAGCTCCAGACTTAGGCCGGCAGCCACAAAAATAGTAGAATAGAACGGGACATGTACAAACCCCCGAGGGTGCCAAGGCAAACAGCTCGAGCTCAAGTCCGGCAATGAGCCATGGGGTTTCCTCCGGCGTGATTTCCTGCGGCACATGTAGGCTTCCCAATCCAAACAGGAGCAGCTTCTTCAAGAGCAGCTTTTGCTGTGGCCCTTGTTTCACCACATCTGCCACTACCGGCTAACGCTTGCCCCAAAGGCGCATCCGCGTCTTCCAAGTCAAAGGAAGCGTTGGAAGAAGTCTTAGTTTGCCAGAAGTTCACGATAGTTCACGTGTATCGAACTTACCGCGGCCCGTGCAAACCCACGATCCAGACCTGTCTTTGATCAGCAGTGTAACCAAACTATTGCCGAGGGTCAAGTTCAGCCAAACCTTGGCATGCCAAGCCCAAAGCTATGCCAAAAGCAACCAGCTACCAAATACGATGTTACAGCAGCTCTCCGGAAACAGCTCAAGTCACAAACCTCCATCTTGGAGCTGTTCTTATTATTTGTCTCCCAGACTCCTTGATGTGCTTGGCCTTTTCACGAAGTGAACCGAGTCGCACGGTTCAATAAACCCCGTTTGACTGCCGCATCCTTTATGCCAGCTCAGGCCCAGATCTACATATATATATATATATATCTACTGACGGACACCCAGATAGAACATGGAAAATTAACCCCAAACGAGTCTAGAACCTGAATTCCCACCATGATGTTCTAACTTCGCGTCCGTCAACATAATATATATATATATATTATAAAGTATTCACATGTCATGTGGACGTAGCATGGAAGCTCGGCTGATCCATCAGCCTTTGGGGATCGATCCCCGTCCTCACCAAAACAAGCTGCAACTTTGCTCACATACTGTTCAGAGCGATTACGAGTTCACCCACAAAGAAGGAACTGCACAGACCTTTGGCCAATTACATTGCTCTTGGAACAGGCCGGTCCTCTTCCATGTTTGGATTGTAGACCCGGGCTGCACAATGCAAGTTGGCGATCAGAAAAGCCTCTGGACCAATCCAGCTGGCAAACGAGTCCCAGTCCCAGACCTCCGTTTTGTTGCGATGGGAAACCCATTGGCCCCTTAAACACATTGAATGAACAGAAGATATCTCAAAGGCACGATGCAAAGCCAATCAAGCTGTACGTGCGAAGCCTCAGTGCCCCTGAACATTAGAACACCTAACCGAGATAAAGCGTCACTTTGGCAACTCTGGTGCATAGATGGATTTCCGTGGTCAATGAAAGCGTTCCCTCGTAAATAAGGCGGTGTTTAGAATAAGGTAGCCTTTTGGACGAATAGATTGATTTCCTGGTAAATGGTTCATAAAACCCATCTAAAGCAGTGGGGTAACCAAAACCGAGCAAAAAACACCTGACTTTGCGCAACTCCACAAGCCATGGGCCACCCAAAAACAAAACGGTCCAATGTCATGGGCTGCGAGGCATGAAGCGAAGCTTCACCTTGTGGTTTGGTCCATAGGTTCCGGTTCCGGTGGCCTGTCCATCCCAATAATTTTACTAATTAATTGCCAGAGGAAAACTTTAGGCAACTGACACTGTCTAAGTCTGTGGTGGGTCATTTGGGCAGCTTTGGAGTGAGCCATTTAGTCAAGGGGTGTCTGATTCCAGCAACATCTGTCTTGCTCTTCAGCCCCGGGAGTTGCGCCCTACCAAAGCAGTGCATGATAGATTGCTGCACCAATAGAGGCTCACAAAGGACAAATGTTGACGTGCGGCCCCTCAAATCAAGAAACAACTCGACCTGGATTTCCACACTTCAACGGGGATTCCCATGTGCCTGGGATGGCCTTTTTGTTGGACGTCGAAAGGGAAGAGGCCTGTCGAGAGACCAACCTGATAACAAGTCGCAGCTTCAAGGGGAAGCCACCCAGCAAAATAACAGCGCCCCTGTCTCAAAAGCCTAGTAGGCCTTGTGGATTGAATTGGGGAATTGAGCGCCCGGTTGTAGATGGTACATGGGAAACCACTCCCAACCTTCAGAGCGCCCATCCAAACCACCAATTCAGGGGAGGCTGAAACATACAGTCAAAGCTGGAAAAAAAAGAAACAAAAACATATGTTCCTCGAATCGACAGGCTTAACGCCACGCTGCAGCGCCGCAAGCGCAGACCGTGCCCTGGGCGCGACAAGGGCTTTCCTTTTCGCCCAGAGTTGGCTCACTTCCTACCTCAGCTTTACCCCGGGCCAAAGAATGCGGTACCCAGACGCTCCCGATTGATTTTCGGCCTTCAAACGGCCAGGTTTTGAGACCCCAAAACCCTTTCTGGGGTGTCCAATGGAGGGTCTGGGTCTTCCATTGGAAGCCCAAGGAGCGTCTGGGTAATCGAAATTGGCTCATTTTTAGCGAGGTGTCTTTGCCCCCTTTCACAGGTTACCCCAAAGCAAACTCACAACTCGGCCACGTGCCCAAGACTGAGTAAAGAATGGAACCGGAATCAAGCCTTGTGATTGCGGTTGCCAAGGGACTACCCTGTGAACCACCTTGGCAAACTCGGGGGCCACCCCTTGCGTTTGCTGGTGCTCCGTGTTCGTTTCGTTTCCCGTAAGGCAGCCCGAAAAAGGACCCTCCGAAAAGAACGAACATCCTTTGGGGAACCGACTGGGCCAACTGAACCCGGCTCCCTCTGGTCCCGCTGACATCGGCCGAGCCTGGGATGCGCTGGCTGCGCTCGGCCCTGCGCGAAAAAGGGAACTGGAGAAGCCGGGTGAACAAGCAATAACTGGAAAATAGGCTGGTACATAGGCTATATCTAGATGTTTTAGGCGGGTAAAAGGGAAAAACTTGAAATTTTGAATGGCCATCTGCTCCACTAATCGGTGTTTGGAGCCGGGGGTTTGGTGGTGAAACGAGGGTGGTTTCCCATTTACCCTCAAGAACCAGGAAGCTCGATGGCCCTAGATGAAACAACCTAATCTACCAGGGCCACTATTGTCTAAGCAACCAAGCAGGACACCTATGTGGGTGAAGGACTTCATGTTCACCCCGGCAGGAAAAATAACTCTTGTTGAGAGATGGGGTGTCCAATTCAACTGTTGCTGGTCCCAAAAAACATGGCAGCAGGAAGGGCTTCTCACACTAGAACCAGTTGGGTTCAACTGGTCACCCGTTTGGCGCCGTTTTGGCAGCCACCAGGGAAAGAGAATTGGTGCCACTCACGCGGAACTGGGTTATGCCAGGGCATTGGTGGTATTGGGTGAGGGGTATTGGGGCCACGAGAGTTTTGTTGGTATCTGTTTGTGCTTTGATCGCTGGGGTCTTGGACAAGCTCCCGGCTGAAAGGCATTGAGTGCAGGGCGGCTCTGGAAGTCAAACAAACTCCAGGGGTAACGTCCTACCATTCTTTCCCGGGGGTTTTCCAAAAAAAACACAACGCAAACTGCGGAATCAATTTTCGGCACTGGGGAGGTCTTAACCCCATGGAAAGTGTTCTGATCCAAGCACCATTTATGAGGGTCCTCCCATGAACAGTCAGACCAATTCCAGTGGCCATGGGTAAAATATTATCTTCCGTTGGCAATTGGTGTTAAAGGGGAACCCCCTCCAAGAGCTGAACAAAAAAGGACGCCCCGGGTCGGCGCATATCCCCGACGCACGAGTCATGCCCCTCTTTGCCACTACAGGCCAGCATCGAAGATCAGCTCTGCATCCGTCTCTGCCACCCCCGCTCGCCACACGGGCCTCTGCGAGACATGAGGATCACTAGCATTCTATGTGTTTCTCTTGTTTTGTGTGTTTGTGTTTCTGTGCGTGCCTTATTTTCCAACACCAAAACAGTTGTCGCAAGCAAACCGTTTTGCTTTTGGCTTTTGGTCTCAAAAACCTGGTGGGGGTTGAAACACCGTCTCCGGTTTGTGTTTGCGGTTGTGTTTGTAATTGTGTGTCTTCGCCTGGGTGCGCTGTGTGTGTGTGTGGTCTTGGATCTGTGTTTGTGTGTGGGGAGGCACTAGAACACAAATGCGGGTTTTGTGTGAATTAGTGTACAAACATGTTTGAGTAACTTCCTGCAATGCCAACCCCGGATGAAAAGCACTTCCAGATCAATAGCGTGTTTCTCGAAGTCGAGGACGCCCTGTTGGTCAACCAAGTGACTCATGTTCGGACTGCAAATCGCAGGTCACATATATCTGTGGCTTCGCATGAGGCCCTTCTGGCTTGGCCGCCTAGAGTAGGTATCTGTTTTTTTTGTGCCTTGTTGTTTACCATTTAGCATTTACATACCCATCCGGACCATGTCTGCATGCTTTTATACAAGGACCGCAAAAGCGCAAGGTCCAGAGAACTTGCAGGGGGCCCCCATTTGACGCGCAGCCAGAGGTTTGGTTGCGCACCCATGGAGAAACCAGGAGCAGCGGACCCGTTCTTCCGCTATGGAACTAAAAGGTGTTCTTTCAAAAGGAACATAATCACTGTGGATGGACGAAAGCCTGCACTAAGAAACCCTGGTTTCTGATGATTCCCCCGCAAACACCAATGAACAATGGTGCCCCTTGATTTCCGATTGGTGCAGAATTTTGTCCGTCCACAGTAGCAGTTGCGATGCGAACGTGCAAACTGAAGATCACCGTTGCAGGTCCCGGAACTGAATTTCTCTCCAAAGTTCCAACTGGCCACAGGACATGATGATCGCCCAGGCCGTTGGAGGGCCAGGAAGATTGACCATGGATCTCACGTCCCTCTATGTTCCTTTAAACATCCATCCGAAACAAACTCATTTCAATACGAAACCAAATAATGCATGCTCTACATCACCCAAAATACCAAAAGGTATGGCTTTACATATTTTATTATTATTATTTTTAAAACAAAAAGTATGCTTCACTCAACGGAATGTGACGAAATGTCCGGAAGCTACTGGGCGAGCGGCTCCTTGGACTCTCCAGCCACATAATCCTGGCATCGCATCCATCTGTAGTCGGCACCCACGAAAAGAGAAGTGTAAGGTTCAGCCCAAAGTAAGAAACCTCTATTGATTGGGGGGGTGGGCCCTTCTAGGGATTCATCACTTTTGGAGGGAACGCCCCTTTTCTGGACAGGTTTGTTCATCCAGGGTCGTTCGGGGAACAGTTTGCCACAAAACATGGCCCTCCCCCGCCCGAAAAAGAGAAATCAAGTCCAGAAACTGGGAGGCAAGGTGTTTGGTAGGCATGCACCAGAGCAGTTGACCCCCAGGTGATCGAGCCGTCTCCCGCCGTCTCACCCCGTCCTCCTCGAAGGATTCCGTCCTGGGCCCCGCATGGCTCGGTGATTGCTTTGTGACTTGGATTGGTCATTCAGGGTTCCCTAGATTTCCTTCTTGCACATCACCCCCTTTTCCTCACTTGCCCAAACAACCCAGAGGTAAAAGCTTAACCTTTTCGGGCCATGACTAAAAATGGACCAAAACAGGAAAACCAAAAGGTCACAAGGTCGACTTTGGACAAGTGAGTTGAGGGTTCCCTAGCCTCGCTTCACATCACCCCCAACAGTTGCATGTTTGAAAAAGGAAAACTTTTACGGGGTACATTTCGGGAACAATGATTTCAAACACGCAATGAATTTAAACAAAAACAACTTGAACTATGGGTAGAAAAACAACGTAAGCATTTGGCTTTCAGGGAGAGTCCCCATAAACCTTTAAACCAAAGGCTTTGGATCGAGCACACGGGTGAAGTTGTTTTTTCCTACTCTTTAAGCCACGAATGTGAAACTTGGGTGTGGCACAAAATTCTCAACAGCTAGGGTGATTCAGGTTTTAGTCTACTTTTCCATTTGCCAGGGTTCCTTTTCGGAACCCATGTTTCGATTTTAGTCTACTTTTCCATTTGCCAGGGTTCTATTTTGGACCCCATTTTTCGAGCCACACCCTCTATAGGCCACCAGGCAGCCCGCCACACCCTTCTGGCCCGCTGGGGCCATGGCCAGTCTGCTGGTTTCTTCTTGCGCTTGGCCAAGGCTGCCGCGGTTTTCCTGCACGGAAGCCGACTTGCAGTGCCATACTGTGGATGGTTGCGAAATCCGTTTCGCACCATAAGAAACCCTGGCTTCCGATGGTTCTCCTGCAAATGCCAGCAATCAGTGGCGCCCCAAGGTTTCAAAGTGGTGCAGGATTTCGTCCATCCACAGCAGGACCGATCCACAAACCCTGGAAAATTGATCGCCACGCTGCCTTGAGTTGACCTCGTTCCCACTAAGTGGTTTGGAGCCAGGTGGTTTAGCGGTGAAACGGGCTGGTTTCTCATTTGCCAAGAAGAACCACTGATTGAAATCCAAATCCAACGAATCCAAAGCACCGAGGGGTTGCCTTAGTTGAGTCGAAAAGGTGGCGTCCCCAGCCTGAACAAAGTCACTTGGCAAACCTGAAGGGTTCAAGGTCTGACCAAACAGAAACCGATAACCAGTCACCAAACCATCCGCAAAGCAAAGCATGGACCCCACAAGAGTCACAATCAAAACCCGGTATTAAAATGGTCTACCCAGAGACATGTAAAGAATTAAGAACGCGGCCGCAACTATTTCTGGCTGGGACTGCCCCTTACTAACCTTCATCGACCCGGGTTTTGATTGTGGCTCACAAGAGGGCATCCCTCAAAAGGGACATCCCTCAAAAGCACGATATGGCTTGTTAAGGGCTCCATGCTTCTCGAAAGACTCGTTTTGGGGCATTCCTAGGTTCTGGCCGCCGGCATCGGTCTGACCGCGGCAGAAGCGCCTGATGAGCTGCCGGAGTCGTCGGAAGTTCGAGCCTCGCAAGGCCACAACGCATGAAACGATTGTCACTTGAAAGTGGATTCCTCCGAAACCGGGGCGGCGCATGCAAGAACCAGTACTGTCACTTGGATGCCTCCCACTTTTCAAGAGCCAGGGGGTAGTCGTTGCATTCGTGGTTGTATTCCGTATACCCCATGTTTGAAATGGGAGCTTCGGTTTGGGCCTTCTTGGCGCCATCCAAAGGATGCCCAAAACCTGAAGCCCGGCACCGAAGAATCTACCTCGTGGCTTTCGCTCGGGTGGGCGGGGGTCAGGAAACCGAGCAAAACATGCGCGGGTGCTCCTTGGGTGAATTAAGCAAATGCATAGCCCCATCCCACTAACGTGGCACCCGACAGGGGGTCGCGCCAAGAGGAAATTCATCTTCCTACTTGGCAGCTGGCTACTTGGCAGCTGGCACCCCGAGCCGAGTCACCTGTGTCAGCAGCAACATCCACAGCATAGCGTGCGAAGTCCAACCAGTCATCCTCCAACCTGTACGGGCTGGCGCTCACTTGAGGGTTTGAGGCTGTGGATGTGCTTGTTCATGATACCCCAGGCACGGGATCTTCGAGGCAAGAGAGCCCACCGGAAAAATGCAGATTTCGCACTTTCCTACAGTTGTGAGTCAAATGCTCCCCCCCCCCCGAATCAAAGGGACACCGCATGAGCTTAGGCCCAATTAGGCAAAGTCGTCGCGCTATGAGTGTTTTAGTCATCTAGAATTTCACATGGAACCTAAACTCACTGTTCATGTGGAGGAATCTCTGTCAAGGGATCTATGCGAAGCATGCATAGACCGTGAATGGCTCTCAAGGAATCTCTGTACAAGACCCCGTTGGGGAGGTGGTCGGTCCTTACCCAGGGAACCTGCTCTGGGATGCTCTGAGCGCTCGGGATGCTCCAGGCGGTTCTGTGGCCCAGAATCTGAACGGTTGAACCCAAGCTGAGATCAGCGGAATCTTCCCAGGCGTATTGGCAAAAGTGGCCCCCCCTTCCCTAGGGATCTGTTTTTTAAGGGTACTGTTTTTTTTTGATGTTTAAAAGGTCCCCCCCCCCCAAAAAAAAAAAAACGAGCCACCCATAGACTCTTGAAAGGTCCAAAACATTCACGCCTGCTCTCCCCGTTGACCTTCTTCGTGACAATGTGAGCCATCGCCAAATCTCTGCAGCTAGCGAGACCTCAAGGACCGCCGGCACTCCCAGGGCTCACGGTTGCGAAAGCAGTAGATAGAACTTATATGTGTTCAGATGTGTGTGCGCATATACATATAGACATATATTGTTGTATTCATATATGATGGAAATTGTGTGTAGACAACAAGCCAACCACACAAATAGGCAAGAAGCATACACATGTAGCTGCACATTATATATTCCCAAATCTACTATATACATGTATACACACATATACATACCTTCCATTTGCTTAAGCCCCCTGGGAAAAAAATCTAATTCCAGTCAGTAGTCATAGATTCCCTGTAAAAGCAAGAGAGGCTAATACAAACAAACACATATTCTCAAGCCAATGGAAGATGTATATACATATATGTATGTATCAAGGGTTGGCTCCAGTCTTCGGCCACCTGGACCCAACCTGTCTCCGTCTGCCAAACCTGCGGCCCATGGCAAGCCCTGTTTGTGCTGAAGGCAACGGGGCATATGACGCAGCACTCAAGGCGGATACAAAGCGAAGACAACAACTGAGGCGTTTTTTTCTCGGATACCGCAAAGAGGGGCGGGTGATACAGGAAAAAGCCACGGTTGCCCTATGTTTCCCGATTAAACGGCGGCGCAAACCGAAATAAGAACAAAATCGTATGTCTGACAGCGTTGAAGGAGCCAGTCGAAACACGCCGAGATGCGCTGGAAGTACTCTGTCTGATTGGGCGGGGGAGTGGTGTGGATGATCACGTCCACCACGCCTGACAGGGCTACCCTGAAGGTCGACATGGAAACTCAGAGCAGAACTCGTGCATGTTTCTCCTGCTCAGAAGCAAAAGAATTGGAACCCTCAAAAATCATAGCTGACCTTTGGGCAAAATAGATGGATTTGCCTGGGAAATGCAATGAAACCCATCTAAACAAGTGGAATCCGTCTGTTTCTAATTCAATGGATCAAACGGACCACCATGAAAAAAGGAGCCCTCGAAAAGGGATTTGAAGAGTGGAATCTCTGAGCCTGCCCGCTTCAGCACCCCTCATGGGAACCAAATCCAAGACTGTTCAGTATACCCCGCTATTGGACGAGAAATCAGCACCCAAGAAACACCCTCGGCGTGGTCGCACCTCCGAGAAGCCGAAGGGTGGATTCCCCTGGTCCTATGGTCCTATGAGCATTGGAGTGATCCATGTGGATGGCAATAGAAGGGTACCTAGCCACGCAGGCACGACCCGAAAGCATCTGGAAAGTGTTCGATCGCAGGCAGCGGAAAAATTGAAAGGCCAAACATAACTACACACTGACAAATGGATAAAACATGACAAATACAAACATGACAGGTCAGACACAAGTGAACGGCGGACCAACAAGTCAAAAACACATGACTTCTGGCAAAACAACCTTGGAACACACAAATAACAAACCAGCCAGGGAAAACCAAGAGGGAAATCATGACTAGACATCGACGAAACAAGTCAAAACTGAACAAAAGAACATGTTGGAGAGCCAAGCATTCAAACATGACTAAACGTGTAACCTACTTGGACAAACACCCGACAAGTAAATGACGTACTCACAAACACACAGATCGGAAAACCCGCGGTCAAGCATGATTGAAGGCCTACGAATATTCGAACGAAGGACGCGAATGACTAAACAAACACACACGCGCGCGCACACACACACACACACTCACCTGAACATCATGGCTAACAACAAACCCACCTGGAAGCACTTGCAAGTCACGATACCTAGCAAACAACAACCTTGGGGGAAAAAGGTCCAACATGACAATATAGACATCCACCAGCCTTTAACAACGAACAGATCAAACATTGCTAGACATCAGTCTCCTAACCTTGGAAGAAGCAAACCACACACCTCAGCCAGACTCACAGCCCCCAGGACGTTAGGCATGAAGAACACCTAAGAAGGCCAAACGTGTAACAGTGTCAACTGGGGTGATGATTTTGACCGCTTCCAGTGGTTATCAAAGTCAGAACATGGGGTTGTTTCCCTTTAACCCATCACTTCGGGGGTGCCTGTGATCATGGCAACATAACCAGGCCAGCCTAACCTCCAAGCTACGTCCGGGGCGATTTGCTTTGGGCACAGCCATTGAGGTGTCGCGGCCTTCCAGCGCATCCTCGGGCTCCAGAACCCGCAGCCTGCGTCCAAGGCCCGAAGCGCCCGTTGCAAGTGGCCCTGGGTCGAAACCAATGGGATCCCAATCTGGGGTAGGTGCACCACCCTTTTCATCTATTTTAATGGGGATTGGGATGTTCACTGGGGGTCAGAGGCTGTGACCCGGGGCCAAATGGATTTCAATGAGTTTCAAACTTACACATTCTCAGAAGGCGGAGAGTCTGTGTGAAAGTCGCCAGGACAAACCGCAATCAGCAGCCTCTATAGGGGCATCCAATACGCCACAGAAGCATCTGTAGCTGGCTGCGCAGTCAGAACTGCAGTGAGGCCCTGTATGCGCTACGCCAAAAAAACATATCACGTGCGCGTGTTGCGTGCCAATGCATCCTCTCGGTTGCAAAACATGTCGTACATAATTGCTTCAAAAAGAACAGGTAGATACACACTATACCCCAGCATGCACTCCGTGGGTCAGGCTTTCACTTCCGTGGCTACCGCCGAATTTGGACTGCCCAAAAGTGACTCAAACAACTCAGGAACTCAGCCCTTTCCTACAGCAAAAGTAAATGTTTACTAACCGCCAAGTTGGACATTTATGAGTGTGTCATCTTTTGGCGGTATCCCTTTGTGGGTGTTTGTAAAAACGGAAACCCTCAGGAAGCCGTTGTCGTTTGGGCCGTGTGGGGGTTCATTGCGACCCGAAATGAGTGTTTTGGAAGCGGTTTTCGCGCACCTGGACTTCTCCAGGACTGCAGGGGGCAGTGCTTTGCGGAGCTCAGACCAGAGCTGGTCCTGCAGTTCTGCCCCAAAGCGGCCCGTTTGGTGGAGCTGTTTTTGGTAAGGACCCTCTCGAAACATGTGGCGGTCCTTTTGGCACCAAAAACCAAGAGTCGCTACCGCAGCAAATCATGAGTTTCAATAGATACCATCCCTCGAACCGCCTCGAACAATCATGGAAGCTGAAGGCGGTTAGAAGACTACAGTCCTTTTAGGAAACCAACCTGTTCACTTCCATTGTTGAAGAGAGGGTAAGGTTTTCAGGGTTCCCCCCCCTCCGCAGAGAATGTTGGAAGCTCACATACTTAGTTCCAAGAAACGGGCAACAAAAGGGGGCACCGTTAAAGGGCTGGGAAGCTCTAAAGATCAAGATGGGTGTCTCTCTTAGGGATCCCAATTTTTGATTTCGGGTTTCCTTTAGCCTCCCCCTCAAAACAAACAAACAAGTCGTACCCAATTTTCAAATGGTTTTCCTTTAACCTCCCCACCAATAAAAAAACGCACCCAATAGCAGTTTGCTGCCTTTTGGTCAAACAACCTCGGAGCAACCCCAGGGTTTGGTTTCAGGTAGGTCCGGGCTTGCGAGTCTATGGCCTAATGAGGCTTCTTGGGCACAGCTGCCTGTATTCATTGAAATCCCAATGGGGATGCGATGGTGAGTATTGACTCAATCAACGGGCCCCAAGGCCGAGGTTTAAATCACCCAAAGACGGAAACTTAGAAATGCAACACCTCGGCCAACATTCCGCGAACTCTACGACAATGCCAAAGCTCGAAAAAAGAAAAAACAAAAACACATGATCCAATTTCATGACAATCCAAGAGGTCACGCTCGTTCGACCCTGAAAGAAAACAGAATCAGATTGGCTGAGGCACGGGACACCGCCGCAAAAACGTGCCTTCACGGCCTTACCTTGTCCGATACTGCAACAGCTCTCATCTTTCAATTCCAATCCAACCGAAAATCTAACGGTTGATTCCGCATTCTTTTAAACCATCGTTCTTTTCAAAAACCGGCCGTTTCCCTGGGTTTTCGGAGGTTTTCTAGAAAGAAGGATCCCTGGAAAGAATGGAAATGGAAGGTAGCACTAGAAAAACGTAAGTTAGATCAAGAAACACAGCTGAAGCCAAGGGTGGTTCACTCGAAGACCATCCGCTTGGTTTTTCTCGAGGTTGTGCTTCAAGGTCTCTCTCTCTCTCTCTCTCTCTCTCTCTCTCTCTCTCTCTCTCCAGTGCGCTTCAAGGCCCCGTAAAGTGACGCGTTTGCGCCCATCTTTGTAAACGTCCAGTTTGCGCTTGCGCCGCCAAGCAAGACCTATGTACCAATCTTGACCATTTCCTCCTTTTTTTCTCGCACCAACAATGGAAAGTAGCAAACACACTCCAGGCAAATGCACGATACCCCAGCAAATTCACATGCAGCCGCAAAACAAAGTCCAAAGAAGATTGCTCAAATGATTGCTTCTTGGTTCCAGGTTGGCCTGCAGGGAAGTAGGAAAGAACATAGCTCAAGCCTGTCCTTGGCCTTGGCAAAGATCACAACGCTCTGCCTGCCGAAGCCAAAACGTTGCGGAAGAAACTCAGCTTCCCCACGTATAAGTTGGAATGAGGGTGGAGAGTGGAACAAGAGCTGCCACTGCCATTTGTCCCAAACCATGGAAACCTGAAGGTTGAAGCAAAGATCAACCAAGCATATTCTACAAACCAAATCCACTGTTTACAAACAGAACCAGCCCTTCTACTCACAGGCAACCAGCAATCCTCAGCCGGCAGAAAGATTCCAAGATGCCATTGGAAAACGAGGGCTCCCATGCTTGAAAGATTCCGCCATGTTTGTCCTTTTTGTGGCAATAAAGGGGCCGCAAGCAGAGACTCACTTGCGATGCCACTTGAGCGTGTATGCACCCGCTGCCCACGTACAACGATTGGGGAGGTGGGTGAGCTTCTGATGGGATTGCTTTTACTTGCCCGCATTGAAGTGCATTGCGCCACCTATCGTTTCACCACGTATCCCTACAAACAAAATGGGTCCTATCCGATATCTCGGTTGACGTTGGAAGGGGAGCAACAAAATTTATTGTTAGCAGTTAAGTGGGGATTTCCCACTAGACCACAATAAGCAAAAATGCAAAATGCTTCCCAGCGACAATCATGAGATACCAATCGCCTGGGCAAGCGCCGCGCAGCCAGGGCCACGCTGGGGAGGTGGTCTGAGACCACCTGCACCCGCTCCTTCGCCTGGCGCATGGAATCCATCCTCTCAACCCCCCTCTTTTTGCGGATTCCTTGGGACCCTGTCTGGGCTAAAGAAAGGGGCGGGGCTAAAGAATGAATTGGAAAGGGGGGTGTTGGAGGGATCGATCCTTGAGGCCTAAGTTGTGTGTGATGTTGAGAGGGGCGGGGCTATCGAAAGGATAAAGGGGGGGGTTGGAGGGTTGGGTCCGATCGAAACATGTGCGGTCACCGCAAAAGACATGGGACAAATTCAGCTCGTCAACCCCCCCCCCACCACCCCAGTGTTCGGCGCGAAACGTAGAGTGCTTGCGGCAAACGGGATATATTACTGAACCTTGTATGAGGGTTGTTCTAGAAAGCAATGAACACTTTTTGGGTGCTGATTCAAAAAAAAGAGGACCCCTTCTCAATGTCTTCTCGATGTCATTTTTAGGGGTTGAAGAGTTGTCAGAGTTGTCAAAAGAAAACCTCCATTTGCTTCAGCCCCTGGAAAAACAAATTATTTGCAATAGTGATAGATTCTATATAAAACTGACAGGGGAAAATAACAAAAACAATCATTTCAGCAAATGGAAGAAAAAGGTCACGCATTCGGACCAGGCCCTGGATTGTTCGTACAAAGAAATGAGGAATGTAGTGAGATTCCCTCAATATGCGGGCTCCTCGAATCCAAACAAACGAAACTGTTCAAAAACCGTGGTCCTGCATCATAAGGTCCTAGCTGTACAAAGGCAGCGAACTGCCCAGCCTAGAATTAGCCCGCCCAAACAAAATAAATTCAGCGGATTGATCATAGTAGGAACCTATCGTAGGCTCAAATAGATGTGGGCAATATCCACTGAAGTGGGTATGTGTCTTCAAAGACCCCCCAAAATGGCTGTCCCTCTGTTTTCCTTTGAATCCAACATGCAAGGGGTACCAAGTCACCAAAAAAACACGTATTCACCCACAAGCGGGTGCATGAAGCAGTCCCAACATCTGTAGCAAAATGCCCAGGAACGGGACTGTTAGGTCCGAGAGCCCTGCTTTGTGAAGGCAAAAGGCAACAGGTACTTTGAAACAGGCATGGGTCTGTCTTTTTGGTCTTTTTTGAGGGGACCCCTGAAAATGGTAGGTTCCCCTTTGGTGTCCTCTTCAAACCAATGAGAAAGGGGTACCTCAAAAAGACACCCCCCCCACAATGTGAAATGCGAATTCGCATCACAAAAAACTGAAATAACAAAAGTGTAAGTAGATATATCAAACAGACATATTCATCAATATCTTGCCCCCGCACCCACTAAATAGGTGTTGCTTGTTCCTGCGCCGCATTCTCCGAGGGCCTAAATAAGAATTAGGCAATACTAAGCCAGTTCAAAACCAGCACAACACCAAAACAATGACTCAGGTTTCTGATGTATAAATTCCGTAATCGGAAATTGCAGTTTGGCGTTTGGGTCCGGAAAAGGGGGACGAATCTGCACGAGGACCACAGCGAAACTCGCCTAGGGCACACATGTACCCTATGAAAAAATATCGTCCGGCCCCTAGGCGAAAATATTTCTTCCGGGGAGGGGTGTGTGTTTAGTATCAGTGGGGAAGGGATTCATTCAACAAAGTTGTGCATCAGCAAACAAAACACAGAAACCAAAAATTCATGAACAATCAATAAAACAGTAAGTGAGCAAACGCGATACCTATGCAAATCTTTCCACCCTTGCCTTGTTGACAAAACAATGGGGCGCATCTGCCGAGCGGCGCCGTAGAGCGCATTGGCGAGGTGCCTTGATTGGGACGCGACGGCCCCACTAACCCGTCCGAAAGTAGTCAGCCAGCCACACGCAGGCAAGCTGCCAGCAATGCAACCAAGCAATCAAACAAACAACCAAACGAACAAACAACTACTCAAGCAAAACGTAAACAAGAAAGCAGGCAAGCAAGCAAATGAGCAAAGCAACCAGCCAGCCAACCAATCAACCAACCTACATACCCACAAACCAACAAACCAACAAAGCAACCAACCAACAAAGCAACCAAACAAACCAACCAAACAAACCAACCAACAACCCACAAAAAACAAGCAGAAGCAACGAGACAAAACAAAAAAAACACACCCCATCATTCACACGGGGCATAAGAGCTCACAGCTCAAGGCGCAGTCGCGCAGGGCGATCCACCAAGAGCTCCTCCAACCCGCAGTCAGAGTCCTCCCTCTGCCACAGGATGGAGGGCCACCGACCTTGGATAGATCTCGGCGAAAAGTGACCGAATTCTGACCTGGTTGCTGCTGACCCCCCGGAAAAAAAAAGAAAACGACGATTTCTGTGGGTTTAGTGGAACCCCCCAACTGATTTACCAAAAGGTTAAAGTCGAAACATCCAACCGAAAAGCAGTCAAGCTTTTGGTGGGTGAAATGGAAATCCAAGCACTGAACAACAAGAAATGAAAAACCTACTGGGATCGCTGGGGGCCACCCAGAAACATAACTGAAGTACATTTTTAACGACACCAACCATGCGCTGCTCAAATGGAGTGTTGGCTTATCCGGCTTGTCCATAATCCCTCTTGCACCAACCACTACAAAGGGACCGAATCCTTTCGTAACATAAGGTAAGGATTGCCCTTGAACAGCACCTTGGTTGCTGTTGACCCCCTGCAAAAAGTTTAACTTTTTGGTGTTTAGTGGAAACCCCCCAACTTTGTCATCTCCTGGCGTGAATTAGCTTGGTTTCTCTAGTTTCTACACCTTCAGGGCTCCCTTTGTCCGGGGTTTCTTCGGCATTTTTAGATTTATGTAGAGCTTCCGTTGGCGTCTTGATGTTTCCTTGGAACTTCTATATAGAGACTGCTAGAGGGTGTCTTCACTTATGGCTTCTTCAAAAGCTTTCCGGAGGAAAAGCAACCGGAGCCCAGGTTTTGCTTTAGCGTTAATTTTCTACGAGAAGCAGTTGCACTTGCAAATGGGCCTGATTATATAGGTGATTATAGGTGGGTCTGAATTCGCGCCCGCCTTGAATAGAAAACCCCACCCTGTTACCCGAGAAGGGCTGCCCAAGGATCTCTTGCAACCCAAGGAGCTGGTTGAACCAAAAGTGACCTCTTGGTTGCAACTGCGCGGAACACCAAAAAGGGAACAGCTTCGGCCAACTCGCTTTGCAAGAACGGGGGTTCCTCGAATGGGGCAAAAACGCACGTGCTACAGGAATCTCCTTGTTGGAAAGCCTATGACTGTAGCAAGTTTGGTTCCAAATGCAAGTGACAAATGACAAGACAAAAGCTAACACGTTCGTTCGCTGCATGGCAGAAAATCAACGCCACAAAAACCACGGGGAAGGGAAATGCACTTTTCATTTCTCTGGCCACTCCTGTCCCGCGATTCGTGATATCCTAACCTCCTCCTCCCCCCCCGGAAGTACGGCACGGGGCGCTTTCCTTTTGGGCTGGATTTGAGCAAACGATTGGCTCAACCGGACACCCGAGCAAAGCACCTGCTCGCAACCCGCGAAGTCCGAATGCCATGAGGCCCGCCGGCAGTCGCGCCAGCAAGGCCTTCAGCTCCTTCTGCTGTCGCCCGGCGATTGGCCTCCGGACGCCGACGAGGGATGTGGGAAATCTGGCCTCCTTCTCTTACGCGCGTTACGCGCGTTCCTAGGTTTCCGACCCCTAGACCCTAGGCTTGACGAGACAACCAGCAAAAACACGGAGGGTGGGTAAGAAAAGGGGCGCGATAGGATCCTATGAATATTAGGACCAGCCCCTACTCAAAGGGCACCACAGGAGTGAGTCATCTCACTTCCGATTCAGAAAAACTCCAGTTCCGTTACATTTGCTCTTCAAAAACAGGTGTCCTGTCCGGAAAATAGATGGGCCTTGTAGATTGTGAAGCAACCCGGTCAACCAGGGCCATCTCCAAAACAATTTAAAAGGACACCTATGTACTCAATTGGCCAGACACAAAGTGTGCACTTCAAGAACGCCAGGGGCTGTCTCTTGTGCAAGGGTGACACTTAGCACGGGGCATCTCCACCACGACCAGCGAGACGCGGGAGAGCAGGTAGCCATCTCCATTCCTGACATAGCGAAGCAAAACACCGCACCGGTGATCTGGTATCGAGTAAGCCTCGATCATGGGCGAGATCAATCTACCCTCGAATCGGTGAGCTCGATATAACTTGTCCAGGCTCAAGTCTTTCAAAGCATTCACAACATACCTCCAGAGATGAGAGGATCTGGATTAATGTTGACCCGCAGAGTAATAAACTCCCCTCCCAAGAGCGATGAAGTAACCAAAAGGGGGTTTATGAATCCGGCATCAACATTCATACTGCCTAAAAAACAAAGCTGAAAAAGACACATATATGGTGGCACCTGTTTCTTGAGGGTACCCTTGTTGTGGTTTTAAAAGGAGGCCGGAAGGAAAACCACAAACGACCCCTTTGGGGCCTTGAGGTCTTGGGGATCGGTGGATCCTCATCTTGTGGTCCGCGCAGAAAATGCCCGAATCGGCCATCCGAGCTGGTCTAAGCCAAAAGATTCGCCTTAACCGTGCAAAGCGGCTGGATGAAAATGATACCTCGTAACTTTTGCCATGGAGAAACACTCGACCGCTTGTTTTTCATGCTAAATTAGGAAAGCAATCCAAACACATGAGAGCACCCTTTGTTCTAAGCTGGGTAGAACCAGAACTTCCTAGACCTCTTTGGTGGGCAATATGGCATTACAAATTGTTGAGCGCTTGGATAGAAATCAGAGCTGGCAAAACACCCTCATGCTGTCAGGAAAACCCGAGCAGCAAGGCACCCTCAAATCTACCTCAGCTTTTGCCCAACGCCAAACACAGCCATGATTCTGGTCCATATTGTGTGAACCTCAAGATGCAAAGTCAGCTCCAAGGAGATCCCAGTTTCCTTGAAAGACCCCTGAAACGACCCTCAACCTTTCACCCCATGAAGCCAGATACTGTGGATGGAGGAAATCCTGCACCAATGTAAAACCATGGGAAGCCACTGTTCGTTGGTATTTGCAGGGGTGTCATCATTCCCGGTTTCTTAGGTGGTGCGAAATGGATTTCGCAACCATCCAGAGTCGGACCAGCTAAATTGCCAATGGGCACTTTGGCCAGGACCTCCGAAGGTGATCCAGCAAGCGTCCTGAGCTGTGGCGCTCGACAAGTACCCCGCTTTTGGGGTTTTTTGCGACCCAAAGGCTCCCGAGGTATTTAGGACCCTCAAACAGCCAGGTTTTGAGACCCCCAAACACCGGGGTGTCTAATGGAGGGGTTGGTCGGGTCTTCCATGGAAAGCCCCAGGAGAGCCACAAATTGAAAAACAGGAGTTTCACGGGAGGCACCCAAAAGACTATGACCCGTGGCAAATTCCGAAATGAAATCAGAAGAGCCCCTCCGAAAAGGGTAAAATCGCTGGCCAGGCAAATGTCTAGCGACGGCCTTCGTCCAGGGTGGCCCGGCTACAATAATTCTTCTGGGATTGTATACCTGTTCCGGAGCTACATGCTGGTGTGCTCAAACACTGCCACCTTTGGCAGGTCTGAAAGAGGGACCTTGAGTTGAGGGAGCCCTGTAATAGAGGGCTAAATGATCAGAATGGGGTTTTGGGGTACTAGAAACCAAATCCAGGTATGATTAAAAAACAGTGCAATCCATGGGGCATGTACGCTTTCCTGGAAAAAAAAAAAAAACATTAAAAACAAAAACAATAAAATCAACAAAAACAACGGGCAGGATCAAGCTTTTTCATGGCCCCAATGCGAAACCTCATATGCCCAGTGGCCATGGGGAAAAAAGGGCATCCTTTCTTGGTTAGTTGAGTTTGAAAGGGAACCCTTCCCCAAAAAAAGGAAAAAAGGGCGTCACTGGGCAACAGAGTAACTTGCCAAGGCGCTGCGCCTCAACCTGCTTCCAGTGCTCCTCCGTCCGCTCCTCCGTCTTACGCCCGCAGAATCGTGACAGCCTGCACCAGGACGAAATCTGCGGACCCTGGGTTATCCCGGTTGCTTTCTGCTCCCCTGCTAAAAGTTTAACTTCTAGTGGTTTAATGGAAAACCCATTCGTTGGCAAAAAGTTAAAGTCCTAACATCCAAGCAAGATGCACCAAAGTTATTGTAACTGATGCGAATTGCCCAAAAGGTGTGCGTGCACGTGGCCAAAGCAAGCCCGTCTAAAACTCCTCGCCCACATTCAAGACTGACAACTAGCTTTTGGAAGCTTGACTAAACATGGTGAAATGAACATATGCGGAAATTTGGTGGACGCCAGGCCCTTGCAAACACCCACCAACGACAGCTTTTTCGTTTCTTGACATGTCCAAAACCCCAAGTGCTGTCCAAAAAGCAGAGTGCTGGCCGGGGCTTTGGCAGTTTAACCCACGCTACAAATTGAAAGCTGCAAACGGGGGGGTTCAAAATTGGCTGCTGGCTGGTGGGGTTTGGCAATGGCGTGCAACAATCGCGGCCTGCGGAAAAGCAGCGCCTTTCTCAGTCCAAAGACGACCTCAACCTATTGAATTTGTTTGGTTGGTCCGACCCTTTGCACCCTCAGCCCGCCTCACCCCCGCCCCGGCGCCAAGGAAAAGCACCGCTGGCGGTGTCGGTGGCGCATTGGGCAGGCGTTGGAGGTGCAAAGCGATGAGGAAGGTGAGGAGACCCAGGCGTTGGCCCTGCCGGTACCCCCAAAAACCAGGGTGCCCGTTCGTTTTGAGCCCTGAACTCCCAAAAACCAGGGAGGAGCTGTTCTTGAGTTGAACCCTTCACCTGTTTCTTGGGCCATCGTTAACCCTAAACCTGTTTTGCGGGCCAACCGTTGTTGACCAACAGGCAAATCGGAGGTTGAAAAGGCTTGGGGTCAATCATGGGTACATCTGAAAGCAACCTATGTATAGAACCCATTGACCGGGTCAACCTGAACAGTTCGGCTGGAACCCCCAAAGAAAACTAACATCCCATCGTTGCTGCAAACTGAAAGGTGCCATCAGTGGGGTATCAACTACCTCTCGATGTTGGGGCCATGGCATCCCTGCAAGCCTAAAAAAGATGGAAAAAGCAGGCCCGAATCAAGGGTAGTTTTGGCCGAATGACATCTTTGGCGCACATCCCAAGCCTGCAACCCTTAACCACATGTCATGCCCCAAAGACATTATGACGTGGGATTCATTACCAGCAGATTTAACAACAAGCTCCCTGGACTTTCGCCGGTCTTTCGCGGATCTTTCGCGAAACTTGCTCCAAAATAGCCCAGCCAACGTTATTGATTTGCGCCATTCCCAACACAGGCAGGGAATCAATAATGCAAGTGTAGGTGCTGCTTATCTCCCTCTACAAGGGAGCGGGGTCTGCAAATATGTAAGTGCACAGGCATGCCTCCAAAAATCCAACGCGGAATCTTTAGCGAAACAAAAAAGTTTCTTTCGCGAACTCCATCGCCGATCTTTCGCGGAGGGATTTAAGCCAAGACAAATGGTCACCGAATACATAACTCCTTGCAAGGACCTTTTGATCAACCCCCATATATATATATATATGTATATCCCCTTGAGATTGAAAATTGAAAAAGACGTGAGATACAGAAGCTCGGTTCCCTCCACTTCGGGATGTTTGTTTCCGCCGAAGTGCCACGGGCATCGCCCCCGAGATGGCCAGGTCTTGCCCAGTGCTCATCCTCGAGTGTCAAGGGGTTCCCAGACAGCTTGGGAGCTTTTGTGGGGGGAGGGGTGGGGGGGGCGGGGGGGGGGGGGAGGTGGACAGTTTTGCGCCTGAAGAAGAAATTTGCCTTTGGTGCGTTTTTGTTTCCTCGCAAGGGCTGAGGAACCTGACACACCTAAGGCCAGGGCGGCTGTTTACGCCATACCTCTTTCAAATTGACAGCTACCCCGGCCCCCTCCGTTTTTGTTTTTCTGTTGAACCTACATCCACCCCACTACTATTAGTTTTCCACCGACCTGGTTTCGCACGTCAAAAAATCTGAGCCTTTGGGCCACCACCCTCGGAGAATCCGTCTTTGGCCGTTTTTCCATCGGATCCCGCAGGCCTGGGATCTAGCGAAAAATTACAATCCGCTGACCCGGAGGACCGTCAGAGGTGTTGCGGAGGCAGGGACAACCACGAGGTATTGGGGCGATTGAGGCCCCGGTAATACCTCGGGGGGGAAGGGGGGGGAGGGGGGGAGGGGGGGAGGGGTGTTTGTTCCTTGACTGGTAGAATCCTTTTGATTCTCTTGGTCCTTTTTGATTCCGAAGTCAACAAAAGGTCCCCAAAGAGTCAACATGAATCAAAAAGCAGCACTTCAAGGGCAACGTTAGACTACCCTCCCTCCACTTCCTTTTTGGGGAAGCCCCAAAAGTCCACTTCTAAAGTGAGTTGCCGAAAAAAACACATAAATGACTAAATCAGGGAATCCAAAAGGGCCGTGCCTTTGCAAGGGGGGGGGGCAACGGCTTTCCCGTTGTTCCCTCTAAAATCACCAAACACTCAGTTGCCCAAAGGACCCAGAAACAAAAGGTGAACCTTGTGGGACCTTAAAAGCGTACCAACATTGGAAAGCCAAAAGGTCGCAAGGCCGGTTTTGGACAACTGAGTCCCTGTTTCCCCCAAGTAAATGGGGTCAAAAACACCACAAATTGGATGGTGAACGCCAAGGTCGGTTTCCCTCAGGAGGGTTCCATCTGTCCATTTCAGGACCCCCCCGTTCTCCTCCATAATGTTGACCCAGGATGAATAAACCCGTCCCATTATTAGGGGGGTGTTCCCTCCAAAACGTGATGAATCCCCACCAAAAGGAATTGGACACCCCGCACTCAAAATCAACCAGGGGTTTATTCATCCGGGGTTAAAATGATTGGGGGAACCCACGAATCTGGCGTTGAAGCTCATTCCACAACTTTGCTGTCGCATGATGTTAGTTGGTTGATGGCTTGCCCCCCTGAGGCTTGGTTGAATGCAAAGGGTATCCCTCGAACACGGCGTCCGGGTCCAAGGCTCAGCGAGGCAGCCGCCCCCAGCTCCGGCGACAGCTTCCAGGCGCTCAGCGGACCGAACCTAGCGAACCCGAAACAAAGATCCGCCGAGTTGGAATGTCAAAGGGTTTGGCCACAGGAAAATCTACAGGAAATGGCCCCAAAACACCCAGTAGAATTTCCTGTAACCCAACCCTTTGAGAATGGCTAGGGGTTTGTTTTGGAACCATCAGCTTTTTCAGTGGTTGGTTGGTTTTGAATGATGTTGAAATTTGGTGTTGGATGTGTTTGGTGCTTTTTTGCTGTTTGCACACTCACGCAATTGGAATGGCTAGGCTAGGGTCTTTGTTACAACCATCAGCTTCCCCAGTGGTTGTCTTGAATTGGGTGGTGGGGTTCAAATCAAGCCACAAATCCAAACCACCCGTCGGGTACCTGAAACCCCATCCCCTAACTCCTCTCTCCGCCTTTTTGCGCATGGGGGAAACAAAAGGGGGAGAACTCAAATCTCGTGGATAGCCCACATCCGCTTCGCACCAGTTGCAAAGATGAACATGTCCAAGAATACTGGGAGAACCGCCAACCAACTTTTGTAGGATGTTGGCCATCCCCAAGTGTGATAGAGAAACAATAGACATCTGGACCCTCAAATTCCCCTAAGAAAATCAGAATGGCCCAATTTGGCCCAATATGTTGAGGTAGTTTGAGGGTCAGAGTTTTTGTTGATGCGATGGTTTCCCATTTGCCCTCCACAAAAGCCACGAGCTCAAATCCCTAAACCAGGAATCCAAACCACCAACTCGAATACTTGTTGTTTGTGGAGTGCCGTCAAACTCCATGACCTCTTTCGTGGAAGTGGACAGGGAGGTTCCCTGCAACTTGGCCCCAGAGTACACCAAACATATGTTCGGAATCTACTTCATCAGTCAGCCCAACACAAACTATGTTTAGCTTGGCGACGCCAGTCGAAAGGAACCACCACAATTTGTGGGGTCCTGTTATTTCCTTGGCTCGAACTTGGCGGGTCCGCATGGAACATTTGGACACCCGGGTAGTCGCCCCCACCCTTCCAAGCGCTTTTTCGCGCCGAGCCACTGAGCCTCGACGGCACTAATCACCTCGTCCTGAGCCATCCGCTCGCACTCTAAGAAATCCCCCAACAATGGAACCTGACGTTCGGGGCCCCTTTAAAAGGACAACGGTCTTCCAGGACCCTGAAACGTCAAGCTCCATGTTAATTGGGAGGCTAACCTTTTGGACTCCTTTCGGGGCCAGGACTCGATGACCAAAATAGGAAAACCAAAAGGTCAAGAGGCAAAGCTTCGCTTTGGGCAGGTGGGACACCCCCATTTACCCTCGGCCGGGGGTTCAAAGCCCCAAAAGTCCCGAGCCACCCATCTAAACCAATGATCTAAGGGCTGCCGGAATATGAATATGCGGGCATTGCCCTCAAGGAAACCCTGGAAATGACCCAATGCGGTTCTTTTTGGGTTTGATGTTTGCATATGTAAAACTCGCAATGCTTCAGAGAAAGGAATTTGGTACGCATACGCCATCATAAGATCCTTTCTTACTCTTGCGTATCAATGCCAGTTACCTCCCTGCTGGCTTGTAAATGCAAGTTGGCATGACTAGTAGATACCCATTCGGCTAGAATTCTTGAGCGAAGCATAGCACGCTTTCAAGAAAGCAAACATGGTTTAAGCCGTGAAAGGGTTTCGCCGACTGCATGTTGTCTAGCACCAACAATTCCATGGCAATGTGGATGGGAGGGTGGTTGCAATGGGATTGCACAGTGCTAGCAAGGGGGCATGGCCGGAGAAATGCGCAGGACAAAATCGGATTTCCCGGTCCCACCATTGAGAGGAAACTCCCTTTGACCTGGCCCAAAAGGTGATGCTTTAAAAGAATCCCTTGAGGGAAATGCGGGTTGGTCCCCAAGGCGAACCCACAAAATGGCCAGTGTCCTTTTGCTTCCCTTTTATCCAACCCAAAAAGGGCATGCTTAAAAAAGAAACCAAACAGGGCATCCTCAAAAAAGAAACCAAAAAATGGCCACTGTCCTTGTGCTTCCCTTTTAAACCAACCCAAAAAGGGTATCCTAAAAAACAAGCCCAAAAAAGACTTTCCCTAAACCAACCCAAAAAGGGTTTGCCTAAAAAAGAAACCAACAGGGTAAATAGAAACCAACCCGGCCCCTGACGGGCTCGCTGTTGCTTCGCGCCGTCTTCCAAGGTGCGGGGTCTCGACGCCAGGCCGCAGCTGTGGCAGAGGGCCGGAGCTTCGCAGAGCGCAGGCGCCGCTGCCAGTGGGGCGGGGGCAAGGAGGTGGAATCGCCTGTCCATGGAGCCGTGCCGGGGGAAAGGAGGGGGGGGAAGGGGGGGGGGAAGGGTGGGTGAAGCGGGGGGGGGGGGGGGGGGAAGGGGGAAGGGGAGGGGGGCAAGGGGGAGGGGGGCAAGGGGGAGGGGGATGTTCAGTTAAGCTTACGCTCGCGGAACAATTTGGTGAAAAATCGTGCTGCAACCAAACTGAAAAGAGAACCCGCAACAAAGCACACACACACACCCAAGAGATCTGCCCCCTTTGGATATATCAACCCTGCATATCGTCGTGGCAATTTTCTCAAAGCCCGAGAGTCGCGGCCGGCAACTCGAGGCAACGAGCACCCGCAATTTGAGGCCGCAAGGCCACCACTACCAGCAAGCAGCACATCTGCAATACAGGATTCTTTCCCATGACACCAAATCAGGAAAGCGTACAGGTCACTAAAGCTCGGCAAACCTCCAAACCAGCCACAGGAAACTCGGAAGGCCTGGGGAGTTGCATACATCTGAATTCACCGATTCGCACATCTTGGCTTCATAACGGCAGATTCAAAGCCAACAGCTTTCATTCACACAACCCAGGAATCACTGCCTGATTATCCTTTATATGAACATCATGTTGAGGGATGATCCCTTTTTGGGCTCCATGACAAAAATGCAGAGTCATTGCCCAGCTCCCCCACTCGCGAACTTGCCTTCCACGGGTGGAAGAACCACAGGCTGTCGCGGTGACAGCGTCCATGTCTCGCCCTCGGCGCGGACGCGGGCAATAACCCATGTCTAAGAGTCTAAGGATAGGGTGAGAGTCGTGGCAGTACTCTGCTACCAAGTTCCCTTTCCGCATCCTCTTCAAAAGCAAAACTTGGACAGCTGGCTAGCTTCTTTCCAACAGCTGGCCTGTATGCCATAGTGTTACCCCGTGAGCCAAAAGCAAGTGTTTTACTCAAGTGCAAGGATCATGAGAGCACCGTATGCAAATAGACATAAACATATATGTCATATATTTATCAATAAATGCCTCATCGAGGGCAGCCCCCTTTAGAAGGCCAGTCCATGTCCCGCTGCCCCTTTTGAGGGACAGTTTTTCCTTGTGACCTGCCTTGTGGCTTGCTTAGGGGCAAGAAACGGACCTCAAATGTCTATCCCTCTTTCATGTGTCTCGTTGTTCCTACTTGCCTTCCTTGATGCTATGAATGACTCTGGCGCGGGTCCCAGTCGGTCGCAGCTCCCGATTCATTTCGACAAGCACAAGGGCCAAAGCAAGCTTAACATTGGTCTTGCTTGTCCAAAGCCAATCGACCTTTTGCCCTTGTGGTTTTCCCCGGTTGGCAACCATGTCTAGTGGGTTAAAAGGGTGATCTACTTTGATTTCCAGGAACAATGAGGGCAAAGCATGCTCTCAACAATAGCCTGTCGCCCCCCTGTCCCAGTAGGCTTCGACCACAGACCTCACCGTTTTGCTTTGTGTTTAGTGGGGGAAATGCAGCTTGTGGACTTCTTTGGGCCAATCCACTCAGAATCCAGCTCAGAAAGTGAGGTGGGTTCAGGGGGGAGTTCGACCCCAATGCCTTTTACGGCACCCCACAATTTTTGTTGCCAGGGAAACTAGCGAAACATAGTCTCTAAAGAAACCCAAAAGACATTGACGGTTTCCTTTTTCAACGAACCTCAACAAAGGCAAAAATCCAGAGGAAAACCCAAGCCATTTTGGGGCGGCTTCAAACATGGCAGCCACGGAAGAAAATGGGAACCGAGCAAACTCATCCAAGTCGCACTCAGTGCCAAGCTCACCGGCTGATTCTCGTGCAGGTAGTCACTGCACCTCAGCGAGGTGAACCGAGCGGCCCTCATTCCGTCTGCAGAGGGTTTCTTGCAACACAAAGTGCCTAACCCGGGTGGGGACGGCTTGGATCGCTTTTGATCTGTTCAAAATGGAGGCTTCGCAAATCCTGATCCATCATAGATTTATTCGTGGTGGGCAACTCCAACAACGAGGACTCCTTGACACCTACTTCCAACCTGTCCCGAATACGGAGGGGGAACAAGTACGTTCCCTTTGGGCTTCCTTTGGGGTGGTTGACCTTGATTGACCATTGGCACCTAGTAGCCGTGCTGAGACAAGTAAGCCGTTCACATGCATAAACACCTCCGGCAACTCCTCATGCGATAAGACATGAACCAAATGACACGTACTGCGGACACCCCATGTGGCCGTCCCCTTGGGGTGGCAGGCTTAAAGTGAGGTCGAGAAAAAGAAGCTTAAAGGTCGCCAACTCAACAGGCAAGGCATAGCTCTTGGCCGTGATGCCCAGATTCTGCGAAACCAGCAGAATGTCATGTCCCGATTCACTTCCCGAGTGGACAATCCAAAAAGGATTGTCCGAACTTGTTGGTTGCCACTCAAATATGGTAACCCCCAAGCATCCGATCCATGAACTCGAGTGGAGTTTCTTCCACATGGCAGGTCTTCAGGCTGTCACGAGGCCCTGCCTCCTGTTTTGTATAGTCCGGGTGAACGTAGATGCCACAATTCCCCCATAGCCACCAGTTAGCCAAGAAAATGGAATAGTGACATCAGGTTGCACCCAGTAAACCAAAACAGCTTAAAGGGAGGGGGTGCGTCAAAAACTGCCGTGGACAAGAACCAAAGGGACACCGAACCGGAAAACACGGGCTAAGAAATCCAAACTGACTGGGTCAAAACCCAACAAACACACATATTGCCAGGTTGCTTTTAGAATATTCTTTGCACAAACTTGACAAGTCGACTTTGGCCCCGGAAGCAAAACACCGGCTTTAACGCTTTCTTCTTCCCTCGATTTGGGGAGCACCGGCCTGGGACTCAAAGAAACGGGCAGGAGTGGGGCGAACGGCGTTCCTTGCCACCTTTAGGGCTCTCAAGGAACCTGCTGAAACCAACAGGCAATCGCTTGGTTGACGTTGGAAGTAGGGGAGCAAACATTCTCACTCAAATTTGTAGCAGCTTACCGTGGATTTGGAGTTCAACCACTAAACCACAGGAAGCAAACATGTAACATGTTTCCCAACAACAACCAGGAATACCCCTGCTATACATATCGTGTATATATATATATATGTATATTCATCGACCAAAGGCTGCATATATTCATCGACTAAAGGCTGCAGAGCAACAAAGGAACTCCAACTAGGCAAGAGCACAGACCGGGCATCAAAACCAGAAGGCCAACTCCGGTCGGTTGGCGTCCTTCTCGTTCCCATGATTTTTAAACCAAAAAAAAAAAAAAAACGTGTGCGAAGATGGTAGCAAACCAAGCAACGAGGCAACCTTCATCCTCAAACCTTGAAGTCAAAATAAGGAACCGAGTGCCCTCCAAATGTTCCCAAACCACTACCAGTCCAGAACGTGGGGTACAGCCCCTGAATCCCAACCGAAGGCGCGGTTTCTTCGCTTCAAAAAGAAAACAGTCGAACCAAACAGGATTCAAGTTCCGTGTGTGTCCTGGACCCTTCGCTGCCAAGGGTCTTGACGTTTGTGAGGTTGAACACCTCCTGGACTGCCTGCCGTGTCTCATTGCAGGCGCGTGGTAATCTGAACATTGCCTCGTTTGGGCATGACTATTTAGCAGACTTCCCCCAAAGAAGGAATTGTGGTGTTCCTTTTGGCCGTCCCTTTGAAACCACCCAAAAAAGGGCTTTCTCAAGCAAAGGAAGACCCATTTGCTCCTTGGTTCTTCACCAAAAAAAGAAAACACCAACCTCTTTTGCATGCCATGAAACAACGCCAAATAACCTGATCCCAAACGGACACCCCGGGACCCCGCCCACCCCAAACCGGAGGCTCCCCGGATTCGATTGCCTTGGCGGAAATGGTCGCCACCAGCGGTGACAGCTGCTCCCCTGGGATCGAAAGCGGCATGCGAGGTTTAACCCTTGTTTCTATAAACCCACCGAAAGAACGAAGAGAGAACCACAAATATCAAAACCAAAACACAGCTTACATCATGAGCTGTGAAGTAAACATGCTGATTTCCAAGGAAGAGAAAAAACATGAGAAGAGGCATCGGCTGCCTTTGCGCGGTTCCGATCCGTCGAGTCTTGGAGTCTTAGAGCCCGGCCCAAGGGCGAGTCCCAGAAGAGCCGGGCCTCCGCTTTTTCGGCGGAGGCCGCCAGCACCGAGGCCCTCACACAAGGGGCCTCCGGCGCGCGCGCCCGTGGCTCCCTTCTTCCCATGCGCTGGGTTGCGACATCTGCGAAGCCCTGCTAAAAGTGAATAACTCTTAGTGGCTTAATGGGAAAACCATGTGTTGGCAAAATGTTAAAGTCCTAACATCCAAGCAAAATGCACTAAAGTGCGGACGGGCCCAAACAAAGTGAAAGGTGGCTAAACTCCAGTCAGCCTGAACTGGTCCAAGCCCAACAAGCCACTAAACTCCCAAACGGAACTGGGGAAGTGAGTTGAAAACTGAGAGGTCGCATAAGAATAAGACACCCAGGTAACTTCAATTTAGCATTCGGCGCACCCTTGCATCCCAAAAGTGCTCCGTTTCACCACAAATCGATAGAAAGGAACACAAAAACATAAGCCCTTCAGACGGGAGCACTGGGAAACCAACCTTGCACGACGCATCTGCGCCCCTCCGCACATGCGAGACAAACTTCAGGATATGCCTTGAGGATATGCTCCAAGCATATTTTCACGAGCGAAACCAAATCCACACTACCTCGTACGTAACTTCAACGCCATAGAAAACGCTCAATTCCAGAATCCTAACAACGCAGGGACTTTCCCAAGCTCACACCCCCATGGTACAAAACTGCTAAGATGAAGTGGCGCGACAATGATTGATTCCGCTTCTCTGTGTTTTCGGTATTTTCAAGGGGTCGAGAGCATAAATGCGGTTGGAGGTTGGGGATGGGCTCCACCTTCCCTCAAAAAGAGCCAGGGCCCCAAGCCACCATTCCAACCACCAAATAGGAACTACCTGATGGATGATGGATGCAGAATGATGAGCCAAATGATCAACCGGTCGATTCAGTGGGCAAGTGAGCCGATCATGAACAATATATCCCCGAAAACGCGAGCGGACGGCAAAATACCCAAGTCCGAACTTTCTGTTTGCCACTGAAACGGTCTTCCCAAAAAGTCCAGACACTCTGGGGGTGAGGAGTCACCGAAGCAACAGTCTTGGGCGGAGCGAAAACCCTCCGTTCTCGGCAGCCGGTTTCAAGTCCGAGCGGCCACCGCACCACACAGCAGGTACGGCAAGGGCTCCGCATCGATCCAGTTCCTCGGGGAGCGGCGAGGCGAGGCTCGCGCCAGTTTTTCGGTCGGCGAGTAGAACGAACCTTCTGGCGAAGACATGGCAAACCAAGTCAAACAACCTGAAAACCAAACTCGATACACCCCATGTGACTGTCCCGAAGGCAGTCTTGGATTATGACCTGCACTTTTGGTGGGTATCCATCCTTTACGTGACTGGGTCGTATGTCCACGAGCCCAGTTTGAGGGCCTGGGACGCGCCCCTGTTCCTCTCGATTTTTCCCTTTTCCCCCGCTGCCCCAACCCCCCCCCTCCAACACTACAAAGTACTACAAAGTGCAAAATCATTCTCACATCCAACCAACAGTAATGGACCCTCCAACGAAGGCCCTACGTTTGACGGAAAATCCTGCACCGCCTCAGGGTATAACCCGCAGAAGGGTCATGCCACGCGAACCCCTCGCCCCTAATTCAATGTTGAACAGCGACGCGAGAGGGTGGTGCAGGATTTTTGTTCTCATTCAGGTGGTCCAGGATTTCTTCCATCAACAGTAGGACCGACAAGGCAAACAAGAATAATTACAGCAACAGCACTTTGATCGTTGTCCATCCAAAGGACAAGAAAGCCGGTGCCTTTGTCTTCACCCTCATCGTCCTTAGTCTAACTTCACATTCCCGTTCCCAATTGGCAATCGAACAGGTGAAACTGGACTCAACACGAAGCAAACTTTGGCCCAACTCGGGGTACTGTACTCCAAGAACATGTCGTCTGACCAGGTTTCATATGTTGTCCACCCAAAAACCGGGTAAAAACTAAACCAAAGCTTCGGAGGAGACCCGCCGTGCTCGAGTCACCCGATTCACCACGGGGTGGGTTGAGAGGGCCTCCAGTCGGTTCGGCCCAACAGCGGATCGCCTTTCAACCGCCTGGATTTGGGTGGCTCACTTCTCTCCGGAAGGCGAGCAAAACGCGGACGGGTTGAATTCGGCCCAGCGGCCAGTCGGAAATTTTATGCACGTCCTGTTTTGGTGGGCTGGATTGGTGCTTTGGGGGGAGTTAGATGGATCCCCATTTGCAATGCTTTCAACGGGGGGCGGCGATTCACTGCAAACCACCCCTCCTTACCCTACCTGGTTGAGGCCTGAAGCCAAGGACCTTGTTCAGTGGCGGCACGAAAATTCCCCCCACAAAACCCACCCTTTTGGCTGTGAGCTTCGAAAGCGTATGATTCTGCCGCGGGCCGCTGGGAAGAAACTACAAAAGACTGGACATCAGCGTTTGGGTCAAACAAACTGCCTTCGGTATGCTGTTGATGTCAGCTGACCATGCCTTGCTGCTCTTCTGTTCAGACGCTTCGGCGCATAACAGAGGAAGAACAAAAAAAGATGCCAAGCGGCACGCGTTCCACGGCGCGATCCCCTTTTTTGGGAACCGCTCCGGGAGACTTCTGATCTGCCGGCCTTGGCTCAAGACAATTCCATCAAGACCCTCTCTGGTGCAAGAGGAAAGCTCCCTCCCAACATGCCATGCTTCGGTTAAGGGACATCAGACAAGAAACTCCACACATTCTCTGGGCCAAAAGTCGTGGGTGAGGGAAACCTCCCAAATCGGCTCAATGCGGAAGCCCCCCAAAGCTGCCAAACATTGGGCTCCCAGGCAAAACAACAGCCCTCCATTATGTCTCATGCTCCAAATTCAGGTGAGAAATGGCCAGTTCTGCGTTCATTAACTCCAGGACTCTCTGAAAGAACTCGAAGGTCAGACCTGAAGCACTAAAGGTGACCTCCAATCAATATCAACTGTGGTTTTGGCTGGCAAATGGTTCCCCCACTGAGTGGGAGGCAAATCAAAACCAGCAGAATAAAGTTCAATAAAGCGTGCAAATGAAGAACACCCCGACGGGCAAAATGGGAACTACCCTCAAAATCATGGAAAATCACAGGTGCATGTGAGCAGCTTCTGTTGTCCCAATGCAGATTCAGGGTCCAGGCAGCTAAATCCCGCTATGAACCTGCCAATGTTGCAAACCAAAGCTGGAAAGCAGGGATTACAGGTTAGCCCGCTAAACATTTCGCAGATGTATGGTGAAACCACCTGCTTTGCCAGGCTTCGGATCTTCTAAAGCATCCTTTTCTGCGCAAAAGGCCCAGATGATTTCAGGTGAACCTTCTGGGGCCATGACTATAAACTTCTTGGAGACCAACTGATTTAATCTTCACCCCGGATTAATAAACCCCTGGTTGATTAATAGCGGGGTGTCCAATTCCGTTCAGTGTGGATTCATTCCTTTGGGAGGGAACACCCCCCTAAAAATGGGACGGGTTTATTAATCCTGGGTCCATAACATTCAGGTTGATTCGCTTTGGGCTTGACTCAAGGGACACTAACGCTGAGCGTCTGGCTGGCCCGGACCTTTCCGGAGTGAAGTCCCGGTCAAAGCGCCTTGCGAAAGGAATACAGCGGGGGCAACCTCTCGGGGGGGTGGCGCGAAATGGCGGATTTTCTGGTGGTTTCCCTTAAGCAACTCAAAGGGCCAAACGAAACAGGCACATATCTGGGCGATCCCCCTCAGATCCCCCGCTCAAAGTGAATCACTTTTTGTGGGTGACATGGAAATTCAACCACTAAACGCTAAAAAGCTAAAAGGCTAAGGAACCGGATGGCCTTCGGGAGCCACCAAAATAAATGTCACGCGTCAAAAACACATCCCCCCATGAAAGCGAAGCTCATTCGAACTACTCGTTCGACCTTTGGGTTGGAAACCACATGATGCCTGCGAGCATAGGGGAATATGCGGAGCCCAGGCCTGTCGAAGCTCGGCGGGAGCTGAAGCAGTTTGCGGGCTGGTTTGGCGCTACTTAAGGACGACTGTCTAAAACGGGAACCATGGTCAAGAACATTCTTAGAGGAGCCACCGTGTTTCTACACAGCACAAAGGCCGCACCTCTGGGAGTACTTTGCGTCGGCCGAGTTCACTTCCATAAACCAAAAGGTCAGAAGCTACTGCAAAGGGCCTTGGGACTTAAACTGAGCAACGCATCCCCTCCATCACCCCCATCACCCGTCGCCCCATCCCCGGCTGGATTACTGGCTCCACCACAAAAACAAACACACAATTGGCTTCCTCTAATTGGTAATTTGGAGCCTCGTGGTTTGGTGGTGAAACGGGCGGTTTCCCATCAACTCTCTACAAGAACCAGGGGTGCAAATCCCCAAACCAACTAAACGCATCCGCCCATTTGCAGGGTGGGATTACTTGCTCCACCACAAAAAAAAAAAAAAACAAGCTGGCAGGGTAAAAACAGGCCAGCGCCTTCGTCCGTCAAGCGGAGCTGCAAGCCCGGCTCATCCTAGCAAACCAAGTCGCAACTGGCGCCTTGGGTAGAACAACCAACCCATGTTCATTACTTAAAAACAATAGCTGGGCAATCAGTCATTCTCCAATTGATTAGAGAACTAGCTGACAAATCAGTCATTCTTCTCTAATTGGTTGGAAGCAATAGCTACACAATCAATCACGTCCCCTGGAAAAGAAACGTCCAGTAGTGATACGTTCCAGCTTAAAACCAACATGGAGAAAGAACAACCTTTTCTTAAGCAAATGTAAGAACAGGACACTGCTTCTGGAGTTGACCATTTTCAATGGGGAATTCACCAAACAAAAGGGTTTCGGAATTGATGGGTTATTGAAGCTCAAACTGTTCATGTAGAACCCATCCATCACTAGTAGCAAATCAGCAAACAGATACCGATATGTTTGGCTTTATGACCATCGATGATATCACGGTCTCTGACAGTGACAAAGGTACCCTGCGCAAGGCCGCCTTTTTTTTCTTCTCGAAATGGTGGCTTAAAGCATGGTTGCTAGCCGGCTTATTGAGGATCTGTTTATTACATACATTTTATTTAAAGAGCTAGATTTGAACAGCAGATCTTCTCTTCTTGTACCTGGTTTACTTCTGTCTATTGTTCGATATATCATATATATTTTTTATTTGTTACTTTTCTATCCCTTTAGAAACCCTGTAATGATAGTTCCCCTGTAAACGCCAACGAGCGTTTTGGCTTCAAAGTCGTGCAGAAGTTGGTCCCGATTTCGGAGAAATCCGATCCCTCCAGTTTCTCTTGAACCCCGGGCTCAAAATCCGGACCAGAAGTCACCCCGTTTTCACGGAAGCGAACAGGAGGCCGTTGAAAAGGTCTGTCTTCCAAGACTTTGTGGGAACGTGAGGCCTCAAAATGCTGGATTTGCCTTTTACTTCCAAAAAACAACATCCTTGAAAGCAGAGCAACGTTTATCGGGAAAAGGGTCATGATGATTCTAGCCTTCGCCCAACAACACATTCACTATCTTGAGAAGTTTGAGTCTGTAGTTCAAGCACTGGTAAGGAATCTTAGGGAAACCTGAATCAGCAGTCAGCTCGAGTTACCCGGAATACAACCCAAGTAAGCTCTCTACAACTGCCGAAGGATGCACTTTAACTCATTTCACCCTCAAAAGTACTTCGGGTATATATCTCCAGGGGTAGCGAGAGATTCATCAATCCATCTCCCTTCTCGTCACTTCATGACCGGATGGGCCAAACCGAGTCATCGCCAAACCTGTTGTTTGTCACCAACTCGGTGCTCACAAAAGTCCAAACATCTCTTTCTCTCTCTCTCTCTCGTCTCCCTTGTTTGGTCGAATTTGGCCTTTGGAAAAGGAAGACTGACTTAACGATCGCGTGGATTGATCAAACCAGTCCAGTAGCTCCTGAGTTGACACAAAATGCTCCAAACCCAACAAGTGCCTTAAGTCCGTTCCGGAACTCGCAGACTCGAGTTTAGCAATGCTGTTCCACGTTGCATTCCGAGTCATTGGAAATTAAAACTTCACAACCTTTGGTATGGTGGCAAAAAAACTTGAGAGTTTTTGGCAGCCCCTAGCAATCGACAGAATAAACAACAAGACATACAACCAAAAAGCTTGCCAACAACAGTGAAGAGAAGGTCCCCAAGCGGATCATTCCCCAAATAATCCCGGTTTCGTGGTTTCACCATGGATCATTTCACAGCAACCACAGCGAGGCGAGCCACATGGTTTAATGTAATGTTTGATTCATGCTAGAGCTCAGGCACCAAAAGAAACCACAAGGACTCACTTCCGTGGACTCACTTCAGTTCAAAAAATTGGCTTGCCACCCGACCACTCAATTTATTGTCTTCCCAGCAAGTGTAGAAACTCAGGGAGGACATCGGAGGTCCTTCAGACACGACCGGTTACCTGAGCTCCCGGCCAGAGGAAGGATGTGCACGCTCACCTCCTGACCCTTGAGGAGCCTGGCCATCTCATTCCCCCGCTCGCTGGTCGCCTCCGACCAGTGGTATTTTCATGGTGGCCATGGGTGAAAAAAAAAAACGTGCTACCCCAAAATGGTACCATTGGTTTTGACAACCACAGCCATGTATGCTCAAGGTTGGCTGATCCAAAACCTGAACCTGGACTCCAAAAGTTGAATCAGCTCCGGGTTCTTCGATCGGAACCCGGGCGTGCATGGGGGAATTTGGGGGCAAGGAGAGTTCAGGCGAAGTGCTGGTGGCCAGAAAACCTGGGGCAAACTATATGCCCTTGTGCATAACCTCACTGCCCCTGTGTCTGGGGTCTATGGTTGGGAAGATCATGTTAGTGGTAGACAAGCCGCTTGCACATTCTTGGGCCAAGCCACCGAATCGGTGACCTACGAGGGCCTGCCTGCCTTCGCAGCCCCAAACAAGTACCGAGCCTCAAAAACAGAGACGCACCACCCATAGGCCGATCTATGGCATGTGCTTGCGTGTTGGTGTGAGGCGCCCTACTGGAAGGCCTTGCGGACCTCCAAGTTGGTACTTTGGTGAGAGGGTGCTCCCCTACCAATGTTCACATGGAACCCCGAAAAACCCGCCGATTGTGGAGGAACCTCCTTTTGCTGACCCACACCCAACATGATTGCAGAGACCAAGTCCTTCACCCCTGAATTGGAAACATCCCTGTACTACTTTATCACAAAGATAATTCCGAGGGCTTCCCCTTTGAAGTTAAAGATGCGAACCTTTCCAAGCAGCGGTGCTTTTTCCGCAAATCTTGGAGAGGGGTTCCGTTTCAAGTGTCCGTTTTCCATTGGCCGCTGGGGGTGCTCGTGGCCAAATCACAAGCAAACGACCACCAACGGGTATATCCGAGTTTGCGCACGGATGCGCCTGCCTGTTGCAAGGGGAGCAAGGAGCCGCATACTGCTTCTTGCTGAGAGAACCCTTTTCGGTGCTGGCTCTCAAGTTAAACCAACCTTGAAACCAGATCCGATCCCATTGGCTCCAAGTCAAAAGACCCGGATGCGCGCCTTGCTTGGCCCTGGCAGGGGACACCAGTTCGATGCGGTCTTTCAATGGGCTTAGTCTTGGGCGCTCAAAGGAGGATGATCGGATGATCGGACGATCCAACACACAAACACACCCAACAACAATGGAAGCGGAACGCTCTCTTGTCTCTAGCTTCGTGTTCCCGAAAGGCTGGAACAAACAGCTTCAAGGCTTCAACGTCAGCCTTTAAGCTGTTTCGTGGCGTGTTTCGGAGCGTCTTTACTTCGAACAATCCCCACCAAAGAAATTTGATCGGCGTTATTCTAGGCTAGGCACCAACAGGGGCAATCCGACTGCGGGGCCAAGCCGAGGAATACTACGCCGCAAGGCAAATTCACCCCACTCTCTCCCCAGCAAGCCTCATCGAATCAGGCCTTCACCAAATGGTTGCAGATTTGTGGCCCCCCCAATGCCTGGGATTCTGACCCTTCCCAGCTGATGGTTTTGTTCCTGTTGGGCTCGGTATTTGTGAGACCCAGCGGATCCATTTACCCGTACAGTAGCTTAGTACGCAAGCAAGGGAACCACCCTTTAAAAGAAACCAACAGGAAATAGATGGTTGCCATATACGTGGATGTGTATGCATAATCTATTGTACATATATTATATGTACATGGGTAATTGGGATCCACTGGGAGATGGTTACAGTCACATTGAACCATTCCATCACTCAATGTCACGATGCCGTCCTTCTGCACGTGAAAATGGCTGCACTAGTTGGCAGTTTGAATGGCGGCTCCGGGGTCGAATCACAGTGCAACCAGTACTGGAAAACAAGTGCTCCCGTGATTAACCTGTTGTATGCGTCCATTTTCCTGGCGCCAAGGCAAACATCAAGAACCTCTGCGGTGCCATTGATCGTTTGGAGCCACATCAAATCTGGGCAAATGACCATAACTCACCGACTGAAGATAACGGACCCACAACAAAAGAACCTTCACTCTGACGTTGCAGCCCCGTGATTGCATTCAAGTTTAGGGAGGGCGCTCACTGCCCGCCCACCTTTCAAGGGCAGGCTCTTCCATGCTTCCTTTTTCACTCTACCAGGGTCCCCTGTTCTGATTATTTATTTTTTTGGGGGGGGACCTTCGTAACTGTGACTTTCCTTTTTGGCTTCCCTGTAAAACCAACACAGGCAACGGGCATCCTCAAAGGGAAGCCTAGCCATTTGGAGAAGCGCTTCCGCCAGCCTGCCGCAAGGAGCCGAAGAAAGGGGAAGCTTGGCCTGGCACATCGGCGAGAGGGGGACCTCACTGAATTCCTTCCATTTGTTTAAGGTCCCAGGGAAAAAAATACAGTAGTGATGAATTCCTTTAAAAAACGACAAGGGACAATAACAAGTATTCTTAAGCAAATGGAGGATTCTATTCTTGGGCGGCTGCATCATGTTGGCTTCGGATTAGTCCGGACCGTACTCCTCAGAGGTGGCTATCCTTTACTAAGGAACTGATCTCTACTTTTGGGCGCTCTGACTGGTAGGGCCCTCCGGATGAATCCGAAGTGAACACGACTGGGGAGCTCTACCTGGGGGTTTGGTGGTGAAACGCTTGGTGGTGAAACCCATTTACCCTCCAAGCCAGAGAATTCGAAACCCGAATCCAAACCAATCCAAATCACAGGCTTACCCGAGAATTGGGATGCTCCAAAGACCCATGTGAGAGTCGAAGAGCCGAAATGGGAGGCCAAGGCTCACATATGGCTATGTGAAGGGACCCTTTGGTGGACATCGTTTAGGTGAAAATTCATCTCCACCAATCACTTTTGAGGTGGTTCCCTATTAAAATCCATAGGCTTGGCCTTCTGGCATAGACCCACTCTATGGACGCTCCCTAATGGGTGTCGCGAGGATTCGATTGGCAAAACTCCTTCCCTATCAATGTCAAAGCCAGTCGAGTCCCAGAGTCCCCACTCAGGGAATGAACCCTCTTGGCTTGGAATCTACGCAGCTATGTACGAATCCAATGCAACGATACATCCGACACTGTGACCCCAGTCACTCTGACCCCCCAAATTTCCCCCCTTCTTTGCCAAAGCTTCGAGCCTGGCCAAACGATCGCAGTGGATCCCACCTCCCCCTATCAAGGATTAACCCGCCACTTCCTTTTAGTTGACGGGTGGTCCCTTGGCCTCGGCCTGTTTTTTTGGAACCCCCCAAACTGTGGTCTTCCTTTTGGTCTTTCTTTTAGGCCCACCAAACCGGAGTACCTGTTTAAAAAAGGACACACCTACGTGGGTAAATGATTCCAAGTGTGAAACAGGTCTTACATTGCGGTCACTTGCAGAAACTGGAAGCCAGGAAAGTCAGTCCACTTTGGTATCGCCGGAAGCTTGATTTTCCACAACCATGTTATCGTATTGTCTATCATGTTTAGGGAGGAACCCACCAAGCAACAAGCGAAGAAGTTTAGTTCGTTGAACCAGGGTCTACTCATTGGTCTGTTCAATGCAAGCCTTTCAGCCTTTCAGTTCAGGCCCAGTATGTTTCGGATTTGAGAAGGTCATTCACTGAAGTTTGCAAGACATTGCAGTGTCTCACCCCCGAGGTAGGTGTTTTTGATATCACAGAAAATGATTGCCTATGGACATAGGCGTTGCGTATCTTTTCTTACATCGGCGCCTACCCCGCGTGGTCCAGCCGGTAGATTCGGGAACATTGTCGAATTTCTCGCTGGCTTCTCAGATTTTCCTCTTGACGGTTGATTGTCCTCGAGCTCCCAGTTTTTGGTCAGTCTTGGGGAGGAAGCGGCCCAAGACGACCGTACAGCAAGCGGGATTTCATAAAACCCACACCAATTCCAGCTACCATGCTGTGGCACAACCATGAATCAGCTTCCCTCTTCTTTGTGGTTTAGATTTGTGGCCAAGAGGTTTGGGGCGGTTTCCTACTTACCCTCTACAAGACCCAGGGGCTCCAATCCAAACCACCAATTCGGAGCTAGCTGAAGAACCACTGATGACATGACCCAAAGATCCAATCCCGGGTCACTGAACATGTCCCGCCTCCGTCCCAGCACAGCTGCACCTGGGCGAGGCCCGGCGAAAGCTCGCGCACCAGGCCGCGCAGCGGCGCCTGAGGGTTCCACGGCCACCCCGGGAAGACCAACGAGTCGACTTCTGCCCAGAAAAAAACGAGTGGCTTACATAAAGGAAGGGAGTGAATTCAAAAGCATTGACTTGGGAGTTCTGTTTTTTCTCTAACTTTTGAATTCACCCTGTTTCATTAGAGATTGGGTTACCTTGGTTGCTGCAACGACCCCCCTGCAAAAAGTTTAAAACTTTTTGGGGGGGGTGGTGGAAAACCCAACTTGATTTCCCAAAAAGTTAAAGTCTAAAGATCCAACCCACTAGCAGTCAAGTTACATAAAGATTCTTTAGGGAACTTGTTTGGGCCCTGCTGGCTTTGACAGCACACAGGCCAACCCCCTTTCTCCCCTCCTTGCCCCTGCCCAAACACTTGGGGTTCCTAGGTTTCCATTTAACCCAACCCCCCAATAAGGTATTCACCCCTTGTGTGCGCGGGCAAGGCACTTGTTTTTGCCGTTCGAACGGGCTCGGAAGATTGCACGCTTCGTTTTAAAGGCTTGCACCCCTCTACGATGACACAATCGTCACAACCCGCCTTAAATCTGCCAACTCAGGCGAACCAAGCGTCACCTCACTCCGCCTCTCCAAAAAAAAAAGGCGCACTACACGAGCCGGAGGGGACTTGCCCCAAATGTGACGGCCTGGTCTAGTTGAAGTCAAGTGACCCCCCAGCAAGGTGCAAGGGGATTTGCCCCAAATGCAGCCCCGTGACTCCTTTGGATGGAGTCCATGCAACTCATGCTGACCCGAACGTCCCCTTGGAATCCTTCGCCTGGTTGACTCACGGTGAGTTTTCAGGATATCCTGTGCCAAAGACTTTCCTGGGTGAGCTCCCTTGACTCCGAGAGCTCTTAACTCTACAACTAGGAGAAGGCATCTTTTAACTATATAACTTGCTGGTGCGATAGGTAGGGAACGAGCTAGAACGAGCCCGGGCTTTGGTCCGCTTGAAGGAAACCACCAGTTGGATGGTTTATAAGAGTCATTCCAATGCTGATTCCCTGCTGAGCACCAGCAAGACAACTCAACCATAATTCCAACACCTGCATGCCCCAGCAATGACAATGGCTCCGTTTACCCCGGACAAAAGCTGAACTTGCTCACATCGCCAGTATGAACCAATCTCCTCCAAGCAAGCACAAGTTCCAATCGGCGCGTTGAAAGCGACTCAAAGCTACAAATCCAGGAATTGGAGAAGAACGCCCTGGCAGAAAAAATAAAAGAAACAACAACTCGGGCTGGGAATTCAACATGGAGACTTCCACATTTTCAATTGTTCCCTTGGTATTTAGCGGATCCAGCCGTAGTTCGGACGTGTGTTACATCCTTTCAGAATAAAGTTCGAATTCTTGGGGGGGGGGGGGGGACTTGCTTTTTGTTTATGGACCCCACCCTATTTGGGGGGTGTTTCCGGTTGATTTCCCGTTAAACCCAACAAAAAGGGCCACCCCCAAGAAAAACCTAAAAGAAACACACCCATTCCAGTGCTCCTTTGCGAGCTTTTTCTGTTTCGCCAAAACGCAGGCCGCAAGCTCCTCCGACTGTCCGGCCTAACATTCGCCCGGCCCCGCAGGTGTGCCGTAATTAAGTTGCTGGAGTTGGGGTGAGGGTGTGTTGAAGAGGATGGAGTTGGGGTTGGAGCTGTGGGGGTGGAACTAGGAGATGTGAAAGTCGCCACATATGTTTCTTTCTTTCTTTCTAGCGAAACACTCACTTAGTGGGCGCATCTGGCAAGGGGAGCCGACTGAATTGAATAATTGGATTTGCCCCGCATCTCGTGGAGGATTGAAACTAACCGAAATGGCGCTGCCTCAAACTAGTTGAGACCAACTGAAATGGAAAAGTCGCCTCAACTTGGTTGAAACCAACCAGAAGAGATCTGTCTAAAATTGATTGCAATCACCAATATTGGCCAAGGAGATGACGTTCTCCCGCCCAAGGCTGCGTTGAGCCCTATGCCATGCCGAAACTCGCCTTCGGCCTTCTGCCTGCTATCCACTCGGGTCGACCTTTTTCGGGAGCCTGGTGAGGGTTTTGGGCTTCATGTTCCTATCCCCCCTCACCAAACTCCAAGACTCCAAGAACCCATTCCTTTTCAGACCCCAACCCTCCCATTGCTTTCAGAAATGTTCAAGTGTTTTTTTTCTTGGGGGCTCAGACATTTGGATTTGGTTTGGACCCCAGCGGTTCAAGAGCTGAGGGTAGATTAGAACACCAACTGCGGCCAGGGCTCGAGCCAAGCCTCTCCTGGCAGTCCGAGCCAACTGGGACGCCTCTCAACCAAACCCACCGAGTGCAAGAAGATCCTAAAACAGAAGCCGCGTTCGTCACCCCACCACGAGGTTCAAATCTGCAAGGACCTACAAGAACACCTGCAAGTTGAAAGAAAGAAAACTGAAATTTCATGCGGCCAACATATCCAGCGGGACATGTGGGATATTACTAAGCATTCCGCAAAAAGCATGGGGACTCACTCAATTTCCCATGCACTTGGTCACTGCATATTCTGGCCGCACACTTTTAAGATGCGTTCCTCCTTTCTGCGCTCTTGAACGGCCGGACATCCTTTACCGAGTTGATCTCCGATCCTAAAATCTTGCCCCAGCCTTAGCCTTTCTTGAAGCCATTAGAGACATGCGCAAGCAAGCCGTCTGCGTCTCCTTCGGCTGGATGTTTGATGAGCTACTGACTTCTCCGATCCACTCCGATGGCCTGTTTTCGCTTTCGGCCTCTACCAAAAAGACCTGGGGTTCGCAAGTCGGGGACACCCCCAGGGGCCCCAGAGACACCGCCCAATCCAGGTGTGCAACCCAACAGACGTAACTTCGCTGAACAAGTCACGCCCCCTTGAAGGGGACCCCAAAGGGCCCGCCCAAATCCACTTTCTTGGGAAAGACTCCAATAGACCGCTTTTGGGGGCGTGTGTTTGCAGGGGGTGCTGTGCTTGGGTCCTGCGAAAAGTTCTGTGAAAATTAGCAAGTCCAGAACAAGACCCTCAAAAGGAGCGACCTCTACAAAGAGTGGCGGTTTGATTCCATGCCACTTTTCACGAGAGCAAACCGCAATCAGTCAAGCAACCGTACCTGATAAACGCGGCTCAACCCCACCCGGGTGAGTGACAAACAATGCCAGCTGCGCAGGCAGCCTACCCAAAACCATGCAAACAATCAAAGGATGGGCAGCACCCATGTATGCCAGAGGTTGCTGAGATCACGGGCACCTCCTTTCAATTCGCCAGGTGCGCGCATCTCCAGACTCAGCTAACCCGGCGTCGGAAGGGCCAGTTCCCTTCTGGGGTAGACCCTGCCCAACTGAGCTGCACTTTTTGCAAGAATTCCAAAGCCTCCTTTTTGAATTGGGTTGCGTGAAGGATCTACTGGCTTAGCCCCGAAACAGCTCAACTCAGAAGAGCTGCTCGACACAGGGCTCTCTGGAAAGATCTCCCCCCTCGCGAAGGTCTTTCGTAACCTCAAACTAGCTAGGCGGCTCCTGCAATTTTTCCAAGCGCAAGCACGCTTAATAGCAGGCACGAGAGCCACAAATGCGTTCTGTAGCCTCCCACACACACAGAATGCGAAGAACACCTCCAAAAGAAAAAGCAGCATTTAGGATTCAACATTCTACTTTGCCCTTCGTATCCTTTTTGGACTAGATGTTCATTGGGTTTAGTTTCTCTTTTGTCTGGAGTAATTCCCATCTCAACTTCCAGGACCAACATTTCCCTGCTAACTATTCTTTACCCGGCACGCTGTGTTCAAGAGCATTCATGCGCTTGCAAACTTCTGATCTTCCAACACAAGGCATGCTCTGTGAGTGAGATAGTGAGAGTGAGAGAGAGAGAGAGAAAAGCAAAGACATGAGAAACTCCAGAGAGTACATGTGATTGAAGGGAGTGAAGGTCGAGGAAGAGTTTCCCTGTAGTTTATCTTCGCGCTTCTTCCGTTAACCAAAAGCAATAAATATGAATCGGATAGAAGGAAGGAATCGCATGACATTGGCAATAAGACAAAAACAACGAGAATGACAAAGATAGGGAATATTTTCCTGACCCAATAAATCACAAGTAATTCCAGGAATGAACATAATATGTAAAGTATTGGGATATTCGTGGCAATGGCATTCAACCCTAAGAATTGCATTGGGGAAAAGGTAGGAAGCAAGCAGTAAGTGTTAATTTGCAATGGTAAAGAGAGATAAAGAGAGATAAAGAGAGAGAGAGAGAGAGTACATGAGGATGAACGCAATACACTCTTGGAACCTTCTCCAGGCAACATAGCCATTATAGCTCATAAAGAAAAACAAAATAAAAGTGTGCTACAACATAATGTGTATCATGCAATCCTAGGTTTAGTGCAGCAATTGCCAATTAATCGACCCACCTATGGTACACAATAATCAACAGCAGGGAAAACATAAGAATACCTATGAAATATGTAGTTCTAAGGTGTGACAAAACTGGATTGGAGAGATCTGTCAAATTGTTTCTCCAGCTGGTAAAAATACTGAGACTGTAATGTGTGTAAATAAGCTCTTGTACCACCTTCGAAACCCATGCGCTATGAATATGATGTCTGCAAACAAAGCTTCAAAGAAGAAGTAAACTACATGGCCGATGTTCATTGGCTGCTTGGCACAGATTCTTGGCCAAGAAATTGTTGTGCAAAGGATCACAAAGGCAGGAAAAATATGTAAACGTTTGGCAATCCAAAAGAACATCACAGATGTTGATAGTATATAGCATCTCCGCCAAGCATTGGATCAATTCAACGTGCATTAGAATGAAGATCACCCAACATTAAAAGTGTTCCAGGGCAATGCTAATAAAATCATGAAAGCTTAACCAAGCAAGGGGAAGAACACTATGGTATAGCCTTTCATGTTGCATGCTATCCCACTAAATCCCACTAATGTTGGTCAACAAACATGTATGGCACCTCCTGCACCCGAGTCAGGTTCGGCGCGCCTGCCGGCCACTCTTGGCGGACCTGGATCGCCAGGCTCTGGTGCCGAAGAGGCCAGCCCAAAGCTGATGGCAACTACATCCTACACAAAACTGGGTTCTTTCAAAAACCTGCTTTGCGTGGGGGGGGGGGTGTCCTCAAAATCAGCTGGCGCCAGCAGGTTGCAATGCAATGCATCTGTCATTGTACTTCGAGCGCCTCAGAGCCTCATCCTTTGGCTCTAAGGAGCACAGAAAAAGCAAGAAAGAAACACAGCCCCACTCGTTGCAACGGAAACCTATAGCTAGGCGGGCCCCTGAATTGTGGCACGCCGCGTTGTGGCTTCCTTTCTCAACCCAGATAGTGGCGACCAGGGAATCCTGGGAAGACTCATTGAAGCAAAAATGGCAAACGGCCCCAAATCAGCATTCGTTCCCCGCGGGCCATACGGAGAGCTAAGCGATGTGCCAGGAAAGGCGCGCGCGGCCCCTCGCTGATTGATGTTGGGAAGGCTAACCGAAGCCCTCAAAAACACACAGGATAAGTATTGCGTTGAACGGAAACGTCTTCCAGGCTCAAGCTCTCAACATCTCTCAGCGACCCCGCCTCGCCGACAGGGCCACCGCGCTACCTGCAGCGCCTGGCTTTCCAAATGGCTGAAACCAATTCGCTGTGCTACACCACTATTTCATCCCACGCCGTCCAAAAAAACACCAGGTTCAAGACTCGCGCTCGCTCGCTCTCTCTTTCTCTCTTTCTCTTTCTCTCTTTCTTCTCCCTGTTCTCTTCTCTCTTCTCTCTTCTCTCTTCTCTCCTCTCTCTCATCTCTTCTCTCTTCAATCTTCTCTCTCTCCTCTCTCCTCTCTCCTGTCTGCTCTCTCCTCGCTCTCTCTCTTTCTTTCTCTCTTCTTCTCTCTCTCTCTCTCTCTCTGTTCCGCTCTCTCCGACTCTCTCTTTCTTATCTCTCTCTCTCTCTCTCTCTGTGTCTCGTATCTGTCTTATCTCTCTCTCTCTCTGTCTCTTATATCTCTTCTCTCTCTCTCTCTATCTGTGTCCCTCTTACCCAAAAACACTGTTAGCCCTAACAGCGCAGCTTGCCGCCTGACTTGCGCGATCTGGCGCCTGTCGGAGGCGGGGCCAATGACAACGCGCGTGCTGGAGCCCCGGGATTGCCGCGCTCACCGGCCCCGAAGACCTTCCAAGCGACAGTGACCTTGTAGCAGCTGCGGCGCGAGGCAAGTGTTGGCCCGCACGCCTGCAAACATCTCTGGCGCTAGCAGCGCTGGCACTGGAATGATCTGCGTTTCTGCAAGCATGACGCTCGAATTGCGACAAGCGTCACGCTTATAGCCTCGTCCTGTTGCAATGTGCAAAAAACTTACGGGTTAGCTCTAAATGCATTTATGCGGAGCACGCACTTCATTCGCCCGTCACTGTATTAGAAGTTTAGAGGGTGGCATTTGAGAAACCAAGCAAACATCTCAAGCCTTCAACTTTGCCACTTTCACAACGTCTATCCTCGGTATGAAGTGAACGAGCTCGGCCCACTTCCCACGACTGCGCGCAACAAGTCCCATTTTGCCCTCGTCTTTTCCCTTATCATGTGTGAGAAATCTGCGCAATTCACTATCAGCTTTCTGCCAGGGGACTCAAGAATCCTCCAACATACCTTCGGGGATTCCCGGGGTTCAAGGTTATGCTGAGTGCATGTTGGAGCCACTTTATTTCTCTAGTTGGTTTTTAAGGCAGTAAGGAACAAAGGGCAAGCAAGCCACCGGCTCTTTTGGTGGGAAATCGAAAGGGAAAACCAGCAAAAAGCGAGTTCAATTGGCAAATAAACATGAAGTGACACCGAATGAACCATCCCTTGCGGCTCCCTGGTCCCAAGCGATTCCTTTCTGAAAGCCTGAACAGGACCCCAACGTGTTTCACCAAAATCAAGCAACAGAACCGAGAACTTTCTCGGAGGTTACCTTGCCCATAGGTGTCCTTGAAAAAGAAGGATGGCGCAGGGCCATCCATGTTCAGCCAAACTGACCTAAGGCCACCGGAGCCCGGCCGGCGAGCTGGCAATCCTTCATGCATTTCCAACAAGTCTCCCCCGCCGTGCACCGAAGTCCATGGAGCACTACGCAGGGCAACATTTGGAAAACGCCTTGTTGCCCATGACACTGTCGGGTTTGGCCAACATATTCAGCAGGGACATGTGGGATACTACTGAGCTTTCCGCAAAAAGGAAGGGGAATCACTCAATTTCCCATGCTCTTAGTGGTCACTGCATATTCTGACAGCTCACTTTTTACCGAATATTGTGGTGGCTCATGCTTACGATCGGAAGATCGTTCTCGTTGCAAACAACAAGTTTCAGGTCGCCCCAGGTAGTGCTGTGGATTGGTTTGGAGATTTGAACCCGTTCTTGTAGAACCTAGCACGTACCTAGAAGCCCGCAATGGGAAGAAGTCTTGGCCGTGTCCAAAAGGTAGCAAGTCGGCAAGTCGGAGCCCTGGCAGCTCCCAAAACGGTCTCCTCAAGAAGCAAGCCAAAGCTGGGGAAGTACGGACAAAACTGGTGAAATCAATTTGGGATGAACTGATGAAACCCTAGCTGCTCAATCCAGTTGCGCGGACATTGGCACATGCATGCTTGACATCTCACGGAATGGGAAGGTCAACTCCTGGGTAATTAATCCATTTGTCTCTCCCCATGGTCCGGTGGCAGTCGGAAAGTGTGTCAGCTACCCTAGCTTGCAAGGGTTCCTTTGCCCGAGCTGAAACGGAACCCTTGAAGGCTTGATCTTTTTTGGGGGCTGGGGCAGAGAGGGGGGTGGGCAGGGAGCCCAAGTAAGTCCTACAAAAGGCCTTGTTGGGAGCTTAATACGGGCTTATTTGGGCTCCCCCTCCCTTCCCCCCCACGCCCCTAATGAATCGTTCCATCCCAGCTGGGAACCCCGTTTGCAGGAGTGCTTACACATACCCCTTTTACCCCTCTCCCCAAAAAATGGAATATACCCGTTATAAAGTCATTTGGAAACCAGGGAAGCCAAGGGGGTATGAACAAGGGGTGTGTACTTCCAGCCTTAGACTTTTCCTATGTCCGCACAAAGGAACGGGTCCGGGAAGACGGCGCCGTTCCACTTCCATCCGGCTTGGGTGGTTGGGAAGTCCAGTAGATCACCGTGGGTCGGTTTAGTTGCATGTCACGTGGACTCAACTTGCATGACTTGTGTTAAGCACTTGGGCGTGTCTTAAATTAAAATACACGCCGGGTTTTCCCATACGGATTGCCGCCAAAGCCAACCCAACCGGGTAAGGGGCAGTTTTGTTTTGGAATGGGGTTGTGGGGTAAGGAAAATACTTACTTTAGAATTGGTTTAGTATTGGCTATTCTAAAAGTAGTATTCCCGGCTTTGGAATTTCTGAAACAATTTCTTTTATTATTAGGGAGACCTTTTAATAGGGGAACGGATTACTGTTGACGGACAAAATCCTGCACCGCTTTCGTCATGGGGAAAAAACCCTCGCGCTCCCCATTTAACATTGGAAGCTTATAAGGGCCCTTGTTTGCAAACATTTTGGAATGATCGAAATTGTGCACCACCTTTTGCGAATGCCAACAACATTGAAAAGGGGGAGCGGGGTGCGCACTTGGCAGAGGCGGTGCAGGATTTTGTCCGTCAACCGACTGAACTGCTGTTTTTTAAACAACCCTTGCGCGCAAGGCATTTGCGCTAAGCGCGGCAGTAAGCGCCACGTTGAACACTGCTACATTGAGCACTACATTGAACACTCATTGAACACTTCTTTGAACACTACAGTGAACAAGACGTTGAACACTGCCAAAATCGTGCAAATATCAGCAGTTTCAGCTTGGCGCCTTCTTTGAGGCAAAAGAAGTCAGACAAGTTTCAATTTCTTTCCAAATTTAGCCGATTTGTAGAAAGTGCTGGTTTTTAAACGATTTTGGCAGTGTTCAAGGAGTGTTCAATGTAGTGTTCAATGTAGTCTTCGCTAAGAATAGCGTTCAACCCAGCACTGAATGCAGCGTTCTCTCTCTACGCGCTGGAGCCCATGTTTACTTGGCAAGTTGTGCGACCTTCCTGAGTCGTGATTGAGTTGTTGGCTGGTCAGCCCATAGCCGCCCATGAGACAAAACGATTTGCTGACAAAGCTAGCGTGACGAGTCATTACTGTTGACGGACGAAATTCCTGCACCGCTTTCGTCATGGGGAAAAAACCCTCGCGCTCCCCATTTACCATTGGAAGCTTATAAGGGCCCTTGTTTGCAAACATTTTGGAATGAACGAAATGCTGCACCACCTTTTGCGAATGCCAACAAACATTGAAAAGGGGGAGCGGGGTGCGCAGCCTGCTCAGTAGCAGAATGGACTTGGCAGAGGCGGTGCAGGATTTCGTCCGTCAACCATATGGGTGTGGTGGTTTTCAGGGCCCCCCCCCAAAATGGTTGGTTTCCTTTATGTTTGCCTTCAAAATAACCACACCACAACCACCAACTCCCAAGAGAGACGAGCCACCTGCATTTCCAACTCGAACGAGCACCCGCTCCAATCCCCAGCCCTCCGCCTCGTGAGAGGTGGCACCAGGCAAGGCCACTGGCCTAACTGCGCCAACAAAAACCGATTCAACGGGCGGGGAAGGCAGGCGCCACGTATTCTAACATGAGGAGTGACAGAAATATGAGGCTTCTAGATGCAGCTTTGCATATGATAAATGGCGGTTGAACAGTAAGCGCTCAGTCAGCGGCGCAAATTGGCTCAACCGAGCTGCCGAAGCGTACTTTGCATATGATGCGAGCCGACGCAACGAAATACGGTAAGAAGCAAGAAACACATAGCACGCGAAAGCAATAAAGGCCTGACATGCAACCGCACAGGCACCGCACATGACATGTGCCCTACACATATCCAAAACGGGGACACTCGAAGAGGTGAAGGTAGCATATGCATGCACGTATGTATATATGTATATATGTATATATGTATATATGTATATATGTATATATGTATATATGTATATATGTATATATGTATATATGTATATATGTATATATGTATATATGTATATATGTATATATGTATATATGTATATATGTATATATGTGCATTGTATAACATATTTACACATACGTATCTGAGTATACATCTATATATGTAGGTATATTGTAAATTTACGCAGATATATAGACATTGAAATTGGCAGATTTGCATGCTTCATTTTACTGTTCCAACATTTGTTGTCAAACAATTGCTTCGTGACAGCAGCCAAGAAGGGACATTCAATTCACACCAACCCACGCTGACAGGCAGCCAAGTGTCCAGCAGCCAAAGCGCGACTGCAGCCTTAGGAACGATCTGCCTGGGTAAGTTCGAATAGACTAATCTGAACGCGAAACCCTAAGATCCCTGAGGTCTTAAACGCCCTTTGCGAGGTCATGACTAAAAAACACGTATATACTTCACCCCCCCCATACCAAACGAGCGTGCACCCCGGACAATTAGGTTTATCTTATGTCTGGTGCTGTGGCTTTTGGGGTACTGGAAACCCTTCAGGATGCCTGTGGGCGCATGGATTCAGCTCGTAACCTGGCTCACTTTGCCTAGGTCCTCCAGTAAAGAGGTTAGAGGTGCCCCTTTTTTTCTGTAGTCTATTTTAGTAGCGGAACCCTCCCCAAAAAAGGCTAAAAGGGCACTACTCGAAGACCTAGTTGCGCACCCGGAAATCAACGGCTTTCAGGTTGAAACACTAGAGAGGATGGAATCTCAGGACCAACAGAGCAGACTCGGCATTTTTCGACAACCGGGCAACTGAGAAACCACCTCAAGGTCATGCCAAAAAGGACAGCCAAGACAAATACACCGAGAAACCAATACGCATGTCAAGCAAAGCAAGGGTATGGCATCATATATGCCTCTAAATCCCTGGCCAAAGGCTTGAATAACCATAAGCTTCCTGTTGTATCCCGCCATCTTTTGGCCCAACATCGCCATGTGCTCCTGAATACGGCCATATTCATTCAGCCTTCGAGTCATCCAAGCAACCCGTATCGGCCTCAATTGGCCCATTGCTCGCGCCCAGGGCTGGCCGCGAGCGGCTGCCCGGCCATCCAGGGATCTAAAAAGCGTAGCGCCCACAAGGGCCCAGTTGCAACAAGCGACACGTTCGCTGGGACTTTTGCGGGGGCTGACCATTTTGGGTAGGCCCTTACATCATTCTTGAAACATTCCAATTAGGGTCCCCATTCAGGTTGTGTAGCGAGGTCACTCCAAGCAAGACTGCTGTGGTTTATGCTCAGGATGTGCCGTTGCGCTCGTTTGTCCGGTCGAACACGACGGAATCTCTGGAAGTGGAAGAGACTGGGTTTGGGGTCCATGTTGATGTTCGGGAAGGCAATGAGCCGTTTTCCAGATCAACGTGTGTGTGTGTGTGTTGAACAGCTAGTGCTGAGACTAAAACTGGCTCCATCCGACCATTTCAAACAAGAACAGAGTCGACATTTGCTTCATATTCCAAACAGGCAAATACGAAATGCGGTCAGTCTCTGGCTTTTGCTTGTGGGCAAGACTTAGGCGCCCAAAAGGTATGTTTCCCGGTTGAGACGGAAACTGCAGCAAACCACAAATGACGACAAGTTCAAACCGGCAAGCCATTGGTCTGGCAATGGCGTTTGGTTGCCATAAGCACGTAAGGCATGAGCCAGCGAAGCATTGCGCAGGTGACCTTTTGGCTGTTTAAGGAGAAGCCCAAACGTATTTCTCTCGTGTTTGTGCCCGCTGAGTACCACCTCCCGCGAGCTCGGCAAAGCAACAATGGGAAACGGGTGCGCACCGTGAGAGGCATCAGCCAGCCTCAGTTGAATCACGGCCCCCGGGAATCAAATGCAGCGGGAACCAATGCGAAACAACCTGCAAAGCGCAAATAGATATGGAACTTGAGTGGAAGGTCCCGCTTGCCCCTTGCTCGATTGATAACCAGCTTAGGTCAAGAGCACAAGGGCACCCAACCATAACCATCCATAATAGAACCTGTGTTGGGCCAATCACTTGCTCAATCATGCTTACATTATTTGCCTGACAGACCTCCAACAGGAATGAACTTCACATTTTGGAGGAGCTAATCTTAGACTAGGGCCCTGAACCTCAGTCTCCTGCTCTTCGCGCCCCGTCGTCCGCTTTTCCGAAAACCTGTTTGACCAGCACTAGAATGGGATTGGCGAACCTTTACAAGCCTGAAATGGCCATGTGCGATTCCGACCAGCATTTGCAACTAGTCGCAACGGCAAGTGCAATGCCAACACGTGCCAGCCGAACGCCTAACCTTTTGCGAGCCTTGGGCATGCTAGACGAAACTTCACACATGCCTGTGTTTCGTCCTTTTTGCGGCGTGTGTACCCCCGTGGGTTGGCAAACAAGTCCAAACCGTTGGCCACTAAAACGGGGCCTCCCAAAAAGTCCAGGATCTCAAAGCAAAACTCCGAAATGTCAGAGGCCCTCGTTTGAGAACCTCCGCGGCGGCCAACAGCCAAACCCTAAGCGCAAAACCAGAGATGAGGCCCGCGCGAGCTACCCGTCAGATTCCTGGCGCAGGTGCGCTCGGTTCAGACACTGCGTCGAAGTCGCAAAAATCGCTTCGCACCAGCCGAGTTGGAATGGAGGAAACCTGGGAGGAACCACTCGGGTGCGAAGTGGATCTTGTCCGTTGAAAATCTGAAACGGGAAGTTTCTAAGTACCGGACTTGATGGGCGATGGTTCACAAACCTAGCGGATTCAGAGATAACAAAAAATGGCTGAGTAAAAAATGCGTACCCAAAATGGAAGCCTGGCAAATGGAACCAAAGACTACAACCTGTGGTCCCTGGTGGTTGTATTTTGACCCATACCCAAATCAGGCTCGTCGTTACCCAGTGACTATCACCCTCTGGAGTGATAAAGGCGACGTTTCAGGAGGAAACGGTTTAGTGTGATCCATTTGAAGCTGCTACCGTCCGGGACTGCCATTTGGTTTGCTCAGTTGCCCTCATTGGACCTGGAAATAGAAGGTTGACCGTTTGAAACCTTTACAATGCATGAACCAAATCAGGGAAATTAAAACGTTGCAAAAAACGGTCGATTCGCTTTGGGCAAGTGAATCTACAAAATGTTGCATATCTCCGCGACAAGGAAAGAAGGGTCAAAGGAAGGGGCGTAGGTTGGAATACCCCAAACCATGGCGAATTATCTTTTCAGTTTTAGAGGGTGCCTTTTTTTGTGGTTGGGCCCCAAAATGAATGGGCGTCCTTCTTGGTTTCCGTTGTAAACCACCCCCCCCAAAAAAAATAAGGAAAAAGAAACCGCACCCTGAAGGCCCCGATGCAAAATCCGCTGGAAGCACAGGCTGCGCGTAGTCTCCGCTGCGCTTGGCCTCAGGCGGAAGGCTTCAAGTCTTGCAACTTGCTGGGCGCCTGGTCAATTGGCCCCCGAAAAAATGGCGGACCAATTGAGCACCTCACTGAAACTACCCTGACAATGATATTGCCAAGTGAGTTCAAGGGTAGCTTGGGGGCCCTGTGCTTCCCAGGGTTCCCGCAAGAGGCAACAGTCAAGATGAGTCAAGAGGAACAGGACACACATCGAAGTCCTTTGACATCATTCCCACACCAGACTGGGGCTAAAAGAGTCAGCTTGCCCTTTGAAAGGGAAACTGAAGAAAACTCAAAAGCCTAAAAAAAGGCTTCCCCCCATCTCGGGGCAAGGATCAAAATTGAACGCGGTTCAATCCGAAATCTGGCAATTGAAGCAGGACGAAACCGTCTCTGTAAACGGGATGTATATAGTCACAAACACATATGTCTTTATATATATATACATAACTAAATATATAATACATATATATATATATACATGTAACGGTTCCCTAAAACATTACCCCCACCAATACAGGGTCCGTTACAGTTACATCCTCAAATTTGAACTGTAAATGGTGGCTGTCCCCGAAAAGCAACTTTTACATTGCCTCAACGCGTTCACTTGGGGCTCAGAAATCGGAAACTCACCTCGTTGGGCCTCAACTGGTGATGATCGAATCATGCCAAACAGGGAATTGGTTGGGAACCCTGACGTGGTCCAGCCATGGACTACCATTCCCGTGCAAAAAAATAGCCATGACATGGCAGCGCTTTTTGGGTGTGTATATAATTTGGGTATGCCCCGGTATACCAGTGACCCTCTACTTGGCGATTTGGATCGGTGGTTGGTCGTTAATTCAGGGTGCTTTCCATTCATCCTCCACACAAGCCAGGGGTTCAAATCCGAATCCTCCGACTAGTCAGGGCATTCATGGCCACATCCCAGACCAGTGAGGAAAAGAAAAAAAACCGACATTGGGGGCTTCCTGTTGGCTTTGCTTTCACCGAAAGGTACCCTCAAACGAAGACAAACCCACATGCGTAGCCGGAATTCAATGACCCTGCCCCCCGAAAAAAAAAAAAACGCGGGGAGGGTCCCTATGCTTGGCCCAAACAAGGAAAATGAGATCTGAGTCGGTTTCATACATAGTAACCTCAAGTATATATAATGGGTGTGTCCCTTTTCTCGGACAACACAAGAAGACTGAGAGACAAAAACATGGAGAAACACGAACCAAAAACAAACAAACAAACAAACAAACAAAAAAGCCCTTGTACAAAAACCCAACCTCCCAGGAGGTATCATTTTATTTATTTGAGGGTAAATCTTGTTTGGTGGTTGCAGCGGGGTTCGCCATGTGGTGGCGAGGATCAAGCGGGGCTTGGGAGAAAACAAAAACGAGGTTTCACATGGTTAGCCCATGAGTTGTGTTCTTTAAAGCAAAACCACCCCAAACGGGGAGTTCAACCTCAAACAACGACATACCCAAATAAGTTTGGAGGAGACCTCAGTCAAGGGCACCGCTCCTCTTTTCCTGCTGCAGGCGTCGCTTCACTCTTTGTGCGCAGAAGTCTCCGGCCCGGGCTTTGGTTCATGTTGTATGCTAAACCTAGCCTGGAGTCGAACTAAAAGTCCAGGAAAGTCGAACAAATCATTACCAATCCGCTCGTGGCTTCTGGCTGCCAATGTTCAATTTCAATAAGCCGAAGATGCCCTCAAATCCCCTGCTTAAGCGAATAACTTTTAGTGGGTTAGATGGAAACCACTAAACCAACTAAAATCTGAAAAGCTAAGGAATCGGATGGCTGGGCTTGTCAAGTTAAACGCCGCCCTTTGCTATGGCTCAAAGCCCTTCCGCGCGAGAGCGGCCTCAGAGCTCGCGCCATATCCTCCCAAGATCTCGCAAGATGTCCGTAGCCCAGGCCTGGCCGTCGGAACTGTTTCCCCCCGCCTTCGAAGCGCAGAATCCAAGTAAAAAGCCTTCGGGATCAAAGCGTAACCACCTGGCATCTGGGATCAATACGAGATGTGAACTACCCACTTAGCCAAGAAGGCTGGAGAAACGAGCAACTAGCACAAACCAGTTGCGTCGAGGCAACGAAGCGTTGGTCATGTAAGGAAGACCCTGTGGCTAGGTCCCCTCTGCCCCACACAAAAAAACTGACTTGCTGCTGCTTGGCTAGTTCAACCTACTTGAATCAAGGAACCAAATCAGACGGATTAGCATATTGGTTGGAGCCCTCAAAGCGGGGCTGCGTTTTCCCTTGGATTTCGCAAAGCACGCACCCCAAAACAGGTACGGGGTACCAACTCCCAAAAACCACATCCAACCAACAGTCGGAGGAAGCAAAAGGGAACCCCGTTTTGGGGGTGACTCTTTCACTGCTTCGGGGGACAGAGGATTTGGGTAAATTGAAGGGACATCCACAAAAAATACCCTCTAAAGGGTGGTTTGCAGGAACCCCCCCCCCCAAACAACAAAAGAGGAACCAACAAACTGCAATCTTGGCATATCTTGGCACTCAGAAGGAGTCCCTGGCTTACTTGGAGATCACCCACGACCCAGCAGGGCAACGTTGCCGCAAATCGGCTTCTTTCCGCTTGGTGTTATAAATTGCTGGTTTGGAGTTGTTCCGGTTCCCGGGTTTTCCCATTTACCAACAACCAGGCCTAGGGGTTTCAAATCCCCAAACCCAAAAGCCAAGGGTTCCCTGACTCAAACCGCCCAAAGACCGAACGAAACAAGCAGCGTGCCGGCCTGCAGCCGGCGGTTCAGCTGCAAGAGGAAGCCATCGTCAGAGCCTCGGACTTCGATTCCACAAAATTGAGGGGTTTGACTTGCTCTGACGAAGAATTTGGAGTTGCATACACGTAGTAGAAGTAGTAATAGTAGCAGTAGCAGTAGCAGTAGCAGTAGCAGTAGCAGTAGCAGTAGCAGTAGCAGTAGCAGTAGCAGTAGCAGTAGCAGTAGTAGTAGTAGTAGTAGTAGTAGTAGTAGTAGTAGTAGTAGTAGTAGTGGTAGTAGTAGTAGTAGTAGTACAAGTGGTAGTAGTAGTAGTAGTAGTAGTAGTAGTAGTAGTAGTAGTAGTAGTAGTAGTAGTGGTAGTAGTAGTAGTACGTAGTGTTTTAAATATATATATATATACACCCTGTGTAGGTGGTAGTGGTTGTAAGCTTCTCCGTTGGGGTGGTTTTGGGGGCGTAGTGGAACCCATAAAAAAAACAATAAACAAAAACGAGTTGTTCCCAAAAAGAAACCTTGGATAAAGAAACCAAAGGAAACCGACCCAGTCGAAAAGGGGGGGATGGTTCCCTACGGCTCCCTAAGGAACCCGCAAGGAACTCTAGGGCTCTCCAGAAGACTCACCCCAGTGGTACCCCTACCCTAGTGATTCCACAAGTCCTACTACGTCCTACTGGTCAAGCCACACAGCCGTGTGACGAACCTCCCATGTCATACCAAGTTGTTTGCACCGCGTTCTCTGAGAGCCACGCGAGTGAAAACCCGCCGGCCGCTTTAAACACCCACCTAGGGGATCCCCTTACCTCACTTCCCAAAGGACACAGAAATAAAAGGATAACCGTTTGGGGCCATAGCTGAAAATGGACGGACATGGGGAAACCAAAAGGTTAAAAGGTCGGTTTTGAACAACTGAGGAAGGGAAACCACTCATTTTTTTGGGGGGTCCAATTCCATCGGCTTTGGGCAAGAGAGTTACACCTACAACTCAACTGTCAACACAGAAGTAGCCTCAGCCCGGCCGAGTCGCTGAGGACGGTGGGTCTGACTCCTCGGCAGGATGAGCAAAAAAAACAACCCAGCCGACGAATCCTTTTTTCCCTTACCTCTTGGCCCCCCTGTAAAAAGTTTAACTTTTTGGGGGTTTAGTGGAAAACGCATTTATTTCCCAAAAAGTTAAAGTCTAAAGATCCAACCCAATAGCAGTCAAGGAGCGACCCCAAAGAAAAAGGAGACAGGGAACGGGCGGAACGGGCACTGAGCTGGACGAAGACTGGTTGGATGAGCAGGTTCGGTAGGCTTGGACCTATTTCAAACACAAACATCCGGTGGCTTTGGGACGTTTTGACATAGGTCTCATGTTATCCTGTTGCGGTCGCAGGTGAACAAGGAAAGTGCTTGCTGAACCCCCGGTGCGAAGGCAGGAGATTCCGAGCGGGGATTCCGACCATCCCCATGCTGGGTGCTTCACTCGCGTACGAATCAAGGGCCCTGTTTCCCGACCCTTCGGCACTGAAGAACAGGGGTTGCTTCGGTCACACGTTTAGCATTGGTTCAGTGTTGGGTCAGCTAAAAGCAAAGGGGGCCAAATGACTTTTTAGATGTTCAATACATTGATTAAGAGGGGTGGATTTACTACGGGGAAGAGATTATGCAGCCTCACCCTTCAAGGGGTCTATGTACAGTGCGTAGTGACTTTCTCAGCTGTGGGGAGTGAAGACTTTTAGACATCCAAGCCCAAAACTCGGGCCTCACTTCCCGAACGCATTGGCCAAAGTCCTTTCGATTTGCCCATGCAAGTCCACAACAAAAAAGTGTCCAACTCCTTGAGACCCATTTGTGGCTAAGAAAACCAAACAGAAGACTAGCCAAGGTATCTGCGCCTCCCGGACTACAGGGACCTGACTCTGCAACGAGCCGAAGCGCCATTCTGCGGGGAGCGGTCTTTTTCGGCGCACGCAGCCAAACCCCATCCAAAGCAAAGCCTCTTCGAGGCGCCTCGAATAACGGTCCTCCAGATTTGAGGTTAGAATAAGTTGGTACCCGATGTTTTGTGTGGTCTATCTAGGGAGGTTAGAATACGGGTACCAACTTTTGCGGTAGTCTATTTTAGCAGAGGAACCCTGCCAACCAAAAAAGAAACTGTAAAAGGGCACTACTGGGGACCTAGGAGATATAACGGAGCCTCAAAACTTGTTTGCCCATCCCGTCGGCAACCAAAGAGGGGCCACGCTAGGGGATGATTCCCATTCTTTGGGTTGCCGTTCTTTTCAAAAACCGGAGCCGTTTTCCCGTGTCCAGCGGTTTTCTAGAAAGAAGGATCACGGGAAAGAATGGGAAGGGTACCCCTCCAGCCACTGGGGACAACTGCCGCTAGACAACAAAAGGTGCACCATGGCCGCGGTTCTCACCGACTTCGAATGCCCGCTTCAGACCGGCCTCAGGGCACATGGGCACCCAGCTTTTTCCAAAATACCCAGGCAACCCTCCCCAAAGCCCCCAAACGGTTTAGCGTTTTCAGAAGAGCATGGAACCCAAATGCCTACGTTAAGAGAAATCTCCCAGAGTAACCTACTGTCCAGTTTCCAGGGTTGGCATGGAAACCTGCTTCTTCAACCCATTCAAAGCGTCGGACCAATCACCCCACATCATGGGAACTCTGGAGAGGGCCTTTTAGGGCCCAAATTGGCGTTTTTGCTTTTGGTTCTTTTTTAAAACCACCAAAAAAAACAAGCATGCGAATTGACACCCTGGTTGCTCGAGCGTGGTCTAGGGCCTCGACTTGAGGGGTGTACGGGGCCCTTGTTTTCATCATTTTGGCAGGCAAATGTTCTGTAATCGCCTCAGCGGTTCATCTGGGGTTCGCTTGGGCGAGCTTTTGCAGCTAATCAAGAGCAACTAGTTGACAATCATGATGCCGACGCCTCAGCAATGTGCATCTGACTATTTGGAGTTTCTGAATCCCACTTGTCAGCTTCTGGAGCCTCATTTCTGAATGCTGATCAGGTGCTGAGCTTTTGAACAAATTGGAGTTTCTGACGCCGGGCTATCCGAGAGCTTCCTCAAAGTGGCTAAATGGCGGAACCACTTCGGAAAGCTTGTGCAAGTCGCGAAACAGTATATAATGGCTGAACATTGGGACCAAAGTTGCCCAACAGCCTGAGTGGCTAAACATTGAGTCCATGCATCAATTCACAAATTCCAAAACCGAAAAAAGCGATCCCCAAGTAAAGGAGCTTCACAATTCATACTTGCTGGAATCGCTCCTTCTTCCCCACCCCCCAAATCCGTCAACTACTTTGCTCAAATCTGTTGGGGTAAGCGGCCGGCGCGCGCGCCCGAGTCCGCGCGCGAGTCCGCGCTGGACTGACGGTGCAAAGATTCAGGATCTCCTGCGCGTGATGTGGGTCTCACAATCGCCTCTATGCCATTGTCCGTTCTTCCCAAAATAGAAAGGGTAGCTGCCTTCCCCAAATTTCCTTGTGTCAGGGGATGGGGATGTCTCAAAATCAGACCCACGAAGCTCTCCGCCCAAACAACTTCTTGTCCAACGAGTGAACTTGCTGGTTAGTAAAGCGTCAAGGTCAAAGATCTGGCCGAGACATTGTTGATGTCTTGGTTCCCCCTTTGAAACAACTCGAAGATTCAAATAAGTTTTGGTGCAACTGAACAAGTGAGGAGTTGAGCATTCAACCACCTAAAGTCCATTGTTAATTGCAAGTTTCAGGGATCTCCGAGTTAAGGCCCTTGAGCAAATCAAAACATTATACAAGTGCAAATAAAAACACGGGTTGAACAAGTTCGAAGAGGCCCTACCGAAGTCACAGTGAGCTCGTTTGACCGCATCCGGCGAGCTGGCAACAAAATACGTTGAACAACTTTTCCGGACTTTTCCGACATGTCGCGCGCCGCCGGCCTTTCAGTGGAACGCGCCCTCCACGCTGGACTATAACTTACACAAGGGGCATTGATGCCCGAGGTGCGCGTTGGCGCTCCGAAGGTGGCCAGGAACAGAGTACCAACCACCTTGCGTGGTTGGAGCGCCGCAAGGCAACCGGAGCTATGTAAAGCAAGCGCATCGGCGCCACATGGGTGTCCCAGAACAGAGCACCAACCGCGTTGCGCGGTTGGGGCGCCACAAGGTGAACCACGAGCGCTTAGCGCTCTCCTGAGGTGTCCAAGAACAGAGTACCAACCGCTTCGCGCGGTTGGCACGCCGCAATGTGAACCAGGAGATATGAGCAACGCGACGGCGCCACAGGCAGTGTGCTCCAGCGCATGAGTTTCGCCGTAAACACACCAGATGCCATGAATGCCGGTAACGCGCTGAGTTCATAACACCAGTCTGTACAACCCTATAGTGCATGATTTCGGCCATGCTCCCGAACCACTGGCCAAGCAAAAGCTGACGGCCCGTCGCCCCTATCCAAGTTGAAGGCCCTTCCAGAAGAAGAGGAAGAGGAATCCCGGCGCCGAGGTAACCACGCTGCAGTCGCACAAGCACCGCGGGGAGAAAGCAGCCCCTTGCTCCAAGAAAAATTGCACCCGCACTTCATATCACACACAAGTTCCAGGAAGACACAGAGCCCATACGTGTTCAACGTGAGCAGTTCCAAATTCTCCACAAACCAAATGCTCATGCTTGGCAACGCCTCCCTGATCACCCTTCGCCCCGGCATGTGAGGAACGGGCGCGAAGGAACTGGCACGCGTGCGGCTGAGATAAGCATAGCCAAGTGTAGCAGCCTCTTGATGTAGGCAAAGAAGAGCACGCAGAGACTGCGAAGAATGCACGGCAATTCAAAACAGACCGGTGCCCGCATTCGCACAACGCTCCAAAATTACAGAAATGTATTGCAGGATGTTCGTTGCACTCAAGGCACCTTGCGTGCCCACTGCTCTGCGCATGAAAGACCAGGACCATGAACCACCACACAGCGATCCAGCAGACATGTGGGCCTGCATCTCCATCTCGAACGAAGACCTCACCGCGGTGCACCCACCATGTGCAAACCCGTGTCCATGGCGCGCCGAGCGATCGGCTTGCACGGCCCACCCTCTGGTAGGTTGCTTGGGCCAGGCTAATACGTTGAACAACTGAGGCGTTGAACATCCAACATCCGTGGTTGACGTTCAAAGGGGAACGAAAATCTAACTTTTAGCAGTTAAGTGGGGATTTCCCACTAAACCGCAATTTGCAAAAATGTTTCCCAACAACAACCATCCTCCCCCAATTCCATTTTCGAGGTCGGGATGATCTGGGCAGATCACTTTGTTTCAGCCAGTGGCAAAAAGAAATACCGCTGAATTGGCGGGCTGGCGAAGTAACTGGACCAGAATTCGAGGTTCAAGGGATCAGGAAGCCAGCGGCCAAGGGAAAAACAAGGACCTCTCTTTTTGGTAGTTGCTTTCAAAGAGAACCCCCTCCAAAAAGAGGGAACCAACATGGGTGTTTCTTGTTTGTTTCATTGTTCCCCTTTTTTTGGGTTCGAAAAGGAAACACCTAAGGACAACCGTGGACGTCCCCTCAAAACACCCATACCCACGTGTTGCGCAACACCCGACGTCTACCCCCATCCCGCCTTTCGAAAGAGCGGCCACTCGTCTGTTCGAAACGGCGCCGTTTCAAACTGCTGGAGCACTTGGTGGGCTGCTCTGGCGCCGCTCACCACGGCGGCATGCACGTTGCCTGCGTGCTTTCGAGTCAATCTCTGGTGTTTGAATTTGGCGCCCCCTCTTGACCAACAGCTGGACCTTCTAACCCCTCGCTCCTCGAAAAGGTACAGGGGATTCTCGGGGTCCCTACGTTGAGCCAACCTCTGAACCCTGAGTCGCTCGCTGAGAAATGGGTCTCAACTTCAGTTCAAAAAGAAAATCCAGGCTTTGCCTTCTGCAAAGGGATATTTTCCCCAAGAGTCTGCAAATGGACAATCCCCATATTCGCTGTTATCCCCAACAAGCACGGTCCTTGCCATCTGCACCCGAAGTGACACCCTGACACCTACCAGGGACCTCACGCCAAGCGGCCGTAGAGTAGCCGGCAGGTGCCCTCCCCCGCAAAGTGCACGCGACCAACCGGCGCTGCCAAGAGGTCGAAGTCCTGCCCCCACCGCTTCTCAGATGCCCAGTGGATTTCTATGGGGAAACAAGACTCGGCATCCTTTTCGTAAGAAACCATGAGTTGGACCCTCATGGGTGGCTTCCTTATGTAGTTTCCTTTTTTGTTGATTGACTTTTTTGCGAACCCTTCCTCAAAGACAAGGTGGAAAAAGGAAGCAACCCACTGGGCAAATGGGCATAAGAAACCATGTGGGTTGGACCCTCAAAATGTTTGTGGGTTCCTTGTGGTTTTCCTTTTTAAGCCCAACAAAAGTTCCCACCCAAGACCGGCAAACCCAACTGGCGTTTTCCCAACAACTGGAAAAATGGCCAGCCGGAAACACAGGTGATAGGTGTCCAAAGATATGGGAACTGGTTGCCCGAACAGCCCAGCAAAAGTAATGGTAACCTTTTGCGGCCATGACTGAAAGTGGTTGGGTTGATATCATATCACCATGAAATTTACCCTGCAGGATTGTCATGCAAATTGGGTCCTTGCCCTTCCTTTAATGGGGGTTGAACCCCAGGGTTTGTCCCAAGGTATGGGAAACTCCAATGTTTCGAAAAGTGCTGGTTCCTTGCCCTTTGCGTGCCAAAAGGTTTTCTTTTCATTGCTTGCCATGCCACGGTCACAACTCCTTAGGGCTATGGTCATGGATGTCATGGCCTTAATCTATGAAAGCGGGGTGTTGGAAACACACTGTGGATGCACACAATTCGCTTCGCACTGTTTGGTTTCTGGCTTATTCCAGTATTCATTGGCATTGATCCAACCCAACTGGTGCAGGATTTCAGCCATCCACAGTCCATGGGTGTGTTTGTGTGCGTGTTTTGCTTTTTGAGGGAATCCTTTTCAAGGTTGGTTCAAGGGAACTCAAAAGGAAAACTACCATTTTCGGCATACCTGTTTTGACACATGCTCATGTGAGCAGCGCCTACATTCAGTTCTAGCAACAGCCCTTCCTACTGTGGATTGACGAAATCCTGCACCACTTTGAAACCATGGGAAACCATTGTTCGTTGGTGTTTACAGGGGAATCACGATTCCAGGGTTTCTTAGAAGGTGCGAAACGGGTTTCGTCCATCCACAATATCACTCGCTTCCCGATAGTCTTCCAGAAGTCCGAGACCAAGCACCGACTAGGAGGGCCAACAGGAATCATTTTTCTAGGGGTAACTTCCCCATTCTTTCCAAGGATCCCTCTTTCTAGAAAACCACCAAAAACCCTAGAGAAATGGCTGGTTTAAACAACAAAAAAACAGATGGCTGAAAAGAATGGAAAAGGAATCAACCCCTAGAATCTTGGGGTTGATTCCATTTATCAAAACTCGGTTGCTCCAAGCCTCCAAGCCCTGAGCAACAGGTCCATCACCTTTTGTAGGTTCCAAGGAAATCCGAGGACTAGACCGTCACGCCTTCTAAGTTGCGGGCACCAAACTCAAAGATACCTTGCCTGCATTTGCCTTGCCAAATACCAAACCCAGACATATGAGAGGATGTTACCAACTATTTTCGGGGCCCTCCAAAACAACATGTCAAGAAAAACACCCGCACTCCCACCCCACCCCCCACCCCCCCCACCCCCACTCCCCCATCCCTCCACCCCCCATCCCCCCACCACCCCCCAATCACCCTCTCCTGCACGGAGGAGTTCACGGGGGCGAAGCTCCAGGCGCCCCGGATGAAGGGATTGCTCGCCTCGGCGCGACGTGGCTGTGTCCTTTTGTGGGGCGGGGCGGTAGCCCCCAACATGGGCGGTTTTCAGGTTGGCTTCGATGGCTTTCGTTTTGGACTTGATTGTTTTTTTTTGGGGGGCAGCCCCCCCCCAATACAAAAAGGATTCGACCTCTGGCCACATGTGTCTTAGAATAGGGGGAACCTCCAAAATGGAGATGTGTCTGTTTCCCGACAAAAACGCCACTCCCAAAATAATTCCCTCGGGAAAAAACACACACGCAAACAAAAAGCAAAACAAACAGACACCCCAAACGCGGCTTGAGCGTGTTGAACATCCAAAAAAATGCCTTTTTGGTCACACCAGCTTGGCAACTCCATTAGGCTTGAATCCTCTCACAAAACGAGCTTTTTCCCCCAGATTGACAAAAGGAACTCTCAACCTGAACGGGAAATCGGTCAAGCCAAAAGGAATGGAGTTGTGCTGCGGGCATGTGAGCGCTTTTCCCGCAATCGGTCCAACATGTTCCTGTTGAACCCTGGGAAATAAAGGACAGAATCTTGTTTCTTCAAGCTGATATGGGAGTGTCTCAAAATAGGGGAACCACCGAAATGAAGATGTTCCTTTTGGTTTCTCCGTAATTAAACCAATCTGAAACTGGGTACCCTCAAGAGAAAACACACCCATATTTGCGTTTCCCTAGGCCTTCAATCAGAAGGCAGGTTTGAAGACACCCGCAGTCAGGATCAAGGGCAGCTACCATGAGAGAACCTGGCCACATCTGAGTTTGAGCTGGGATTACCTGTTCTTCTCGTTGGCGCTTTTCAAGCCTAACTCCAACCAGGAAAGCGAGCCGTCTTATAAGCCAAGTGGTGCTTTCCCGGCGGCGCCTTCTCATTGTTTGCCTTTGCCACTTGGGAAGTGACTTTGGTAACATGGCCCCTTTTGGATGGTCTGACATATCGGAAGGGCGGGGTGCGGGGGGTCCCCACAAAGACACCACACCTCGCTCCTAGCTCGCCCACAGCGATGGATTACGGAGCGACGCAATTTTAGGAGTACCCCAATAAATGAACATGGCACCCTCAAGCAGGTTTTTTAGAGGAATCCCCATGTAGTAATCAACTAAATATAGTTGATTGGTGTTGGCTTGACCGATTTCCCTTGGAGATTCAAACAAAAAACGTTACGTGGTGTTGAGAGGCCCCCTCCAAATAAGGACAGCTTCCAACACATGCAGACAAAAAATCACAAGCGACATGCTCCATTGAAAGCAGCGCACGGCCAAATGCATGAAACATGGACCAAACCAGGAAACCAAAAGGTCAAATAGGTCAATTGGGTGTGGCTCAAAATTAAACAGGAGGGGTCATTTACAGGTTTGGCCCATGTTTCCGCTTGCCAGGGCAACCCAAAGCTGGATCCCGGCGGCCCACTTGGAAATGGCCACCTCTTCCACAGAGCCCAGGTCTGCCAACTCTTTGGCCACCTCTCCTGGTGGGGAAAAAAGGCTTGGCAAATGATTTTGGTTGGTTGGTTGGTTGGTTGGTTGGTTGGTTGGATGGTTGGATGGTTGCTTGCTTGGCTGGCTGCAATCCCCGAAACCACATCTCTGAAATACACCATTGGGCCTTTGGAAAGGGGGAAAACCCCTTTGGACAATTGCTGGCTTCCTCTTGGAAAGGCTTCCAAAACCACTCAACCACGTTTGTAGCGTCCTGCTAAAAGCAAGCGTGGGATTGTGGCTTCTTCCCTTTGAGACTCCATGCTCCGAACTGCCCAGTGGAAAGTGAAATTGGAACTCCCACTTGGGGGTTGATCGCATTTCGTGAGTGACCGACGAAACAAAACGGGACTCACGTGGAGTTCACTGCGCAACTGGGCATTCCATGTTGTCGTTCCCGAGAAGTTTGCTCGTTCCCGACATTGGGGCCGGCAACCCTTGTCCTCAATTCACAGTGGGACCCCGCAAGACAACCACTAGAAGACCACCACCATCTGAGCATATTGTGTTATTTCTGAACAACCCAGCCTCGTGTAAAGACCCCGGAAAATCAACCTGGCGGATAAATGGGCGGGGGGGGGGGGTGGTGTTTCCACCAACAGTGAGCCTTGAACTCACTTTCTCAAAGCCAACGAGTCCAACCTGTTTGCCACTGGTCCAAAACCCAAAACCGTGACTCGCGTCCAACTCGGGGAGTAAGGCCATTTTATCTTTGGGGCGGGGGGTGGCCTGCCAATTTGGACGATGAACATGCTTGGGTAAATTCTGGTGGCTGCATTCATCCGACCATTGTTTCAATGGTGGTATTCGACCCCCAGACCAATCGGAATGCACGTTCCCCTTCCCTCGCCGGTCCTTTCAGGCGTTCTGCATCCATGGCCTCTGCGTTTAAGGCCTCCCGGCCACCCAAGAAGCACTCCTGCCGTGCCGTGAGAAATCCGATCCCGTGTGCAGCCCTGGTTTTTTGTGGCTAAGGCAAAATGCGCCATTTAAGCAATGCACAGAAACAAACGTGGAGGTCAAAACGCAGGTCTGTAAGAACAAAGACGTGCCATTTCCCCTCCCAAGTGCAAGTCATGCCAGGAACCACTCCAAGAATCCTCCACACCAATTTGGGCATACCCCAAGCTACGCTACCCCCAGGCCTGTGGCAGTATATAACCACTAAACCTCTGGGGTGGTTTGGGGGCAGTGAAGCCCATCTTTGACGATGGGGTCCTCACTCCAAAACTATGGAGGGCTTTCTACAAAACTCTTAGGAGTTTGAGGGGGGCAAAAAGCCCTTCCGAAGCCTCTGGTATTGGAAACCGTCTTCCACGTAGCTTCCAGAACAGAAGGGATTTGAGGGCTGGAATCCACTGAGTACTATCAGTGCCCAAATAGTTTGAATATGTCTGAATGGGCTGTAGGGGACGTCAGGGCTAAATATAGTCATCATCATAAGGGAAGAATGTCAGTGTGCAATCATTCGGCCACTTGTAAAAACTGGGTGGTGTGGTTTGGTGGTTGGCCTGGGAACATGTTGCTTCAAAGTGGCGATCGGGTCGCCAAAGAACCACACTAAACTATGATCCTACAGGATTGCATGACAAGAAGTAGAGAAACAAAGAAAGAGGGCCTCCCGACTGCATGTTCAACTTGGCAAGTGGGCTCTGACCATAGTTACACAGAGTTACACGCCAAACTCAAGCAACGGGCGATGGTTGTAACTTACTTCTTGCGTGCCCCCCTAACTGGCTGAGGCCCCAAACGAACCAGAACGTGTGACCTTGCCGAAACGAATAAGGCCAGGGGTGGGAAAATAAAGATGAGGTTGAGAAGAACAAAACAAAAGTACCGAATAATAATATAGAATCGGAGGTGGGTGCTGCATGAATATAGGAGCAAACAAATATATGTGTTGCTTAGCCCCTCATATTGGCGGGCTTGCCAAAAATGGACATTACAAACAATGGGTGGACATGGCAGGACATAAGCTCGTCTTGTCCCCTGACTCACTTCTTGAGTGGATGCCCCCCCCCCCAAAAAAAAAAAACTCCTGTTTACCACTAAAACGGTCCAGGAACTCAGGGAGCCTTTGCTTCAAGAGCCCCCGTCTGCTCCAAGGCGCTAATACGCGGCTCCGGCCCTCCGCGGCCCCGCGGATGCAAAAGGAGAGGAGCCGCCTGCGTGCTTCCCCTTCGCCGGGCCATACCATGCACCCAACGAGGCACGCAACCCACCTGAGGGTCCACCCCCCCACCCCCTCGAGACTTGAGCCGCCCTTCGCGATTCAAGGGAACAATCCCCTCAAGGGCAAACAAAAGGAAATGCGCCACTGAAGGTTCCCATCCCCAAAAACGCGCATGTTGCTTTTGACTGGATAGCCTTCCCCCTTTTTTACCAATCATGATGAATAACGTCAGTGCCGTGCTGGTGGGATAGTTTACCCTCTTTCCGATCATCAAGGTGCAGAAAGGGGCACAGTGCCTTTTTGAGATGCCAAGACAAAAAAGCCCGGGTGATATCCTCAACAGCCCCGGAACCCTCTGGAACCCTCTGGAACGCTCTGGATCTCTCCCTGAAATCTGCTCCAAACTTTTCCAGAGCCCATCTGGGCGAAGACCCCATAACTTTCAGCAGTTGGGGAAGTTGTGTCTACTGCTAGCTCCAAAAGCACTGCCTGTGTGTTGTTGCCCACCTTGCTCACTTGACCTCTCAAACTGTTCTTCTCCCCTACAAAAAGAAGAACAAGACCAGAAAGCTCACGATGGCCACCCCAGCTGGAAACCCAAAAACAACCACATGTGCCGTGTTGTCTCCGCTGGGGAACGGGGGTCTTGAGAAAGCGAAGCTCATGGCATAGGCCGCCTACCAAGGAAGCCCAAAGCGTAGGCGCTCGACTTGAGGGGCTGAGACAGCTTCACAAGCCTCAGTGTGGCTTTCGTTGGTTGGAGTTGGAGGGGTCACTGAGGACGAACTGAGTGGATTGGACCACTTCTGGGGGAAGAACCCTTAGGCTGGGGTCCCACGAACCCCCTCTCAGCTGTGGGGTTGGCAGGATTGTTTCTTGGGCCCCTGGTTAGGCCATTCGAGCAGCGCCCAAACCATTGAGGATTGATTCTACGAATTCACATGTTTATAAAGGTTTATGTGCCCTTACTAGAAGACCCCTAAGCCAAGTGGCACAACCTACTAGAATGCCCAGAAGGGGGCTTTGGGCCCTCAAGTTTTGAGGAGTTTTGCGTTCATGCGGTTTTCAGGGGGTGCACCAAACAGCATCCAAGCTCGCTCCCCTAGCTAACACCCATGCCGGTTCCTCAAATAAGAAATTAACAACACGGGAACAAAGTATGTGGCACAAGTCCCTCATGTGGCAAAGGCGGGGCTAAGCCAACATGGGTTGGCATTGCTGGCATTGAAACTTCTGTAGCTCCTGTTCCTTCGAATAGTGGCCTGGTTTCACTCAACTGGGCCTTATTTTGAGGAAACGGGAGAACACATTGGGGCCTCCCGCAAAGTGGGTGGTTTGCCCTTCCCCTAACCCAGCTCGAGGGTGCCCGGAAAGAAAAACACACACGAAGGGGAAGAGGGGTGGCAAAGGACCCCGGCCCCCCCTCTAAAATTGTAGAAATGATGACCTCCATTGATCCAAGGTCACCACCAAAGCTTCCCCCCAACTGTTTGTTTCCCCAACATGCCCCAAAAACCCCGCAGTGTCCAACAAGCAGTTTTGTTGGAACCTCCGGGTGGCAGGCAGGGGCTCCGACGTTCCGATCAGTCGCCGTTCCCGGCGTTTTCCGGTCGAGCGGCACTTTGGCCACGTTGCCCATGCCCAAGCGCCCGATGGCCGCGCTCTTCCAGGAAGACAGCGGGGGATCGAAGGCAAGATGCCCCTCAGCGAGCTGTGGCGCTGAAAAATTGCTGTAGTCTATTTTACTAGGGGAACCCTCCCACAAAAAAGGGTAAAAGGGCACTACTGGGGGACCTAGAAGGGAAAGCCAGCAGGAAACCAACCACTTTCTGCTTGGTTCAAGGGAACCAAGCAGAAAAACAACGACTTTCTGCTTGGTTCAAGAGAAAACCAAGCAAACAACCAACAACTTGCTGCTTGGTTGAATTGTTTCTGGAAATTGAGGAAGGTAGAGTACGTGAGGGAATTCATGTGCACACATGCTAGCAATTTCGGAAAGAGCAAGTCAACCACTTACACGAGCTCCCGCCGGAGAAAAAAACCTTCTGCAAACCTTCCGCGGATGCAAATAGGTCCACCTCTAGACATCTCTGCTTGAGCGCGTAAACAATCGCCACTCCACCAAAAAAACGGGAAAACAAGAGCCACTGAACCGGAATAGCCCAGCTTCAATCTCCAACACCTGCTTTGGGAAATCTGAACTCTGTTTGCCTCGGAATATTACGGGCCGGCGGGGATTTGTCGGAGACTCGTGGGTTTCGTTTACTCATTCCTACGCTCCCCTTCCCTGGTGGGATTGGCCCCAATGGCTACAAGTGGGGGCAGGTGCCTGTGGTTTGTGGGGTCATCAAGAAGCAAATTGGTAGGAGTACTGCCCATGCAAAACGTCCGAAGGGTTAATTGAAGATTCACTGTATTAAATGGTGATCTATCCACTTTAAAAGTCACAGGAAGTGGGCACGTAATCCACCATTCAAAGGAAATCTTGTCAAGCAAACCGCCTCCAAGCACTGAAAGGAGAATAACCCCAGATAAATCCAAAGAGAGGTTGCGGCGCCATCGTTGCCACTTGGAGAATTTCACGAAGACCGAACACAGCTCGTGAAGCCAATGGACTTGCCAACCCCATGAATCAGCCAGGAGTCCGCATGAATGCTTCGGCCCAACATGGGCAGTGTTTTCTAATGTATCCCTTTCGCCTTGGTTGAAGGGAAAGCAATACGATCTTCCGAAATCCATTTTTAGGGGCTCCTGACTTTGAGCCATACCCGTAAAAAGAAAAAACACATCTACACCTAAATCGCATGGGCCAATACCCCCTTCTGCACACATTCCCGCAAAAATGGTTGGGACTGTCTACCTTGACCCCGTGGTTCAAACACGAGGGGATCTTTAATCCTAGTCCACAATTGGCAGTGGGGCCACCGCTACACCAAGAAAAAAACACAAGCCTTTGCAAAGAACCACCTGAGCACTGCATCCACAATACTGTGGCCACCAGAATCCAGAGGTGTGCGGAGTCAACACTGCACAAGAACTGCAAAAGAGCTCAACTTGTTGGGGCTCGTTAGGGAATGAGGGAATGAACCTGGGGGTCTCCTTACAGGAAACCACCCGTTGGATGTTTTGTACTCAAAGGAGAGGGAAACACAGTTTTCTCAACAACGGGGGATTCCGGGACCTTAAAAGGAACGAACCCCGCCGTGACTGCGACCTCTCCCTTAACTTGTGGGCAGCGCGTGCAACGCGCACTTTTTCACTTGAGCCAAATGTATATGACATGCGGACATGTCATAAGTCAATGCAACTTGGTGAACCTCTGGGCCATAAATGTCATCGTGATCATTCACTCCCCCCTCATTGACGGCACTGAGGGAGTGTCTCGGGCGCATTACCACGCCAACTTGACGTCAAGTTTACATCACAACGACTGACGCAAGTTATTCAAGCACCGCCCAGGCATTTGCACACTTTTGGAAACTTTGCGGGCATGTCGCAGCGCATCATGCAGCTGCTTTAGCGGATATGCTTTCACGCACGTCTTCAAGCTTTTCTGGAAGATCAACACGAATGCCGCGTGCGTGCGTTGTACACAACGTAGCTTAGATGAGAAACCCTTCTTTGCTGGTCGCCTGATTATCCTCATGGAGTTTAAGGTGAAATGGCCCATCTAGTATCAGCTCCCAAAGGCTGAGTACAGGTAGTGCCTCCTGGTACAGGGAGTACGCAAGGGCACTATTTCCGCCTCCGTAGTGGAACGAGAAACCGAAGTCTGACGTTTCGACACCCACGCGAGAGGAAAGTGCGTATGCGGGCCACTCAACACCAAGAAACCACCGGATGTTGATTTTGCATCCCTCTCACCTGCGAAGTCTGCATCCACATAGAGAGAGAGAGAGAGATGTAGTTCATCAGTCGAATCCTGAACTGTGCCAACAAGGGTACTGTTCACCGTGCTATTACTGCAACAGACAAGCCTATGCAACTGTTCATCACAATTCCTACACCACTTCTGCACATAGGAAGCAAGGTCACCAATCGGCTTGACTAAGTCCGGACGTGCTAATCGCCCTAACCACAAAGCCTTCATCACGCGGCATGCGGCGAAACCAAGCTCACCCTCCAAAGCGTCATCTGCGGGGTCTAAAGATCCTGCGGGACAGAATGGAGTGGTGGCATCACGCAACTTTTCAGTTTTTAACTGTGCAACCTCAAGATACAACGCAACCGTTTGGCGAGCATAATCTCGCATGTCGAACGCCATGCCCCGTCTCAACCTACCCATTGCGGCATTGAGTTCGGGCTCAGTTGGGTCCTTCGGGGCGTCTATCAAAAGGTGATTCCTGCCTAGTACCCGATATATGTCTTCTGGGGGTTCTATGTCTACTAGACGTGTCAACTTTTCCCAGAAGTCATTGTGAAGGTGGCTGGGACATGCGCTTCCCAGAGTCCGCCAGCGTCAGGATGCCCATAAAGAGCTTTAACGAGCAAAAACCACAGGTTTCACGAAACGCTCGCGCCACCACTTCGGCCGGAGCTCAGGCGGAAGTGTAATCCAAGTTTGATACTTGGACTTCAGCAGTGCTTGAACATAAGTCTTTATAGCGTCTGCTATTGAAGTGGAATTCCCTGGCAGGGATCCATAAGCGAGACAGTTATTAAGACCTTGTACGCTTGTGGGATTTGCTCCCAGTTCTTGGTATACTGCCGCTGCACCATGTTCGTCTTTCGCACAGTCTCCGCGATATACCATCCTACCTTTCATCTTTTGAAGATGTTTAGCGAGTTCGGCGAATTTGACGGATGCTAACGACATCAACTGTCCGAAGCGCACTTTTACACTGGACCGTCGCGCCTCAGCGGCGACGTGATCATATTCTCGAACGGAATTGAGATCCCAAACACCGGCTTTTTCAAGACCTGTGGCTTCAAGTCTGACGGCTTCAAGGGCTTCCGGGGAAGCCAGCATTTCGGCACGTGACAAGAGTCTGGTCACCATTGCGGTGATTTCAGGATTCTTTTCCTCCTTACATTGTCCTAGGGAATGTGCGATGAGATTTTCAACATCAAGAACTTGTTCAACGATGTCGCGACACTTTTCATCGGACTCAACAGCAACACCTATATCTTCCAACCCGGAGAGAGGGGATATGTGTTTTAGTTGCTGTTCACGTTCCCGGTGGTCAAGAGGCAATGGCACTTGAACAGGCATCGCAGGCACAACGGGTCCAACTGTCGGATACAGTGCACGGGCAACAGTGAGACACATGCCTTCGGGATAGAAAGCGGCTTTGCGGTCTTGTTACCTGCTGCAAGCGAGTGATTAAACCCTTTTTCATGCGGACACTTAAATGCTCCTAGTGCTGATGCGAGTGTGCTATTGCTGGTCATCACTTTCCACGGCTTCTTGATGGGGCAACCGTTGCTGTCCTTTAGACCTAGGGCACAACCATGGAAGGTCACTGGGTCGAAGTACCAAAGATGCCAATGGTCCAGCGTCTCCTGCCAGTTGAAGAGGGCCTCGACTTGTTGCTTCGAGGCCTCAGTGAACTTCAACCAGCGGAAGCGGCGGTCCTGCTTCTTGTACTCGTCGACGACGATCTGTTGCAATGTGTTGAACAGACGAGCACGCGGCCCCTTACCTCCGCAATTGCCGCGGTGGGGGCCGACTTCCATGTGCGACCGAAACGGCCGCAGTCACAGAAGGGTTTGTTTATCCGAAAAGCGTTACGGCTGATAACCACTCAAAGGAGAGGGAAACACAGTTTTCTCAACAACGGGGGAACCCCGGACCTTAAAAGGAACGAACCCCGCCGTGACTGCGACCTCTCCCTTCACTTGTGGGCAGCGCGTTCAACGCGCACTTTTTCACTTGAGCCAAATGTATATGACATGCGGACATGTCATAAGTCAATGCAACTTGGTGAACCTCTGGGCCATAAATGTCATCGTGATAACTGACTTTTATAGGGGTCATTGCCTCACTCCCTCCTGAGCACCAGCAAGTCAATAGGGAGCCACAACTCAACTGTGGCAATTTGCCCCCTGCGACCAGGCAACCGTCTGGAGTGCCCCGACGGAAGCTGTCACGATCACGGCACTTCCTGGCACAAATAGCACTTATACTGGCTGCCTTCAGATCCAGTGGGTTGAATGGAAACACCCACTAAACCAACTGAAAAGCTACAAAGCTATTGGACCGGATGGCTTTTTAGCCAAGAGCAAATCTAATTCCTTTTCTCGGGTGGTGGTTGATTTCCTCCAACTCCCCAGAAACTAAAGAATCAGTTCCAAATATTTGGACGCCTTTTGAAAGTGGGGTATTTTGGTATTTGGTGGCTTCCATGTTGAGGAGGTAACTCGGCTAATGCTGTCTATCTAGCCACCTTCGTTCGGGGTGGGGGGCAAGTGCAGAAAAATGGTGTTACCCTTGTCGTTCCAATGCTGCATATTGATTCGGAGCCAAAACAGGAGCCATGGCAAGCTCATGCCGCCCCTCTTAGTCACCCAGCCAGGAAGCTGCCATGGTTCCCATTGCCATGGCTCGGAATCCAAAATGAGGGTTACTTGGCACAGGCCCGCAGGATTCCGTTCAAGGCCATGCCACAAGCAAGATGAACCGAACAGAGCTTCCTTCAAAACGAACCTTGAGGCAAAGCTCGGGGACCAGGACCCAGAGTTGGCCTTGGGACACAAGATTAACCCAGCATTGCAACCCAACAGCTACACCATAACCTAGCCAAGGAAGTTGCCCCTTTTGCAAATTTGGTAGCGCTTGCAGCAATGCGCCTGGCGCATGAAGCTGAAAGTTAAGAGCGGAAATCACATATTTCCAAAGAACAGCGGAAACGCGTGTTTTTTGCTAGTTTGAGTGGGGTAGGTATGGGTAGGTTGTACGTGGGGCAAAACTTTGCCGAAATACGTTAGGAGGCTCTGCGCTCAACCTGAACCCTCCAAAAAGTACTGAAATTTCCGTACATGCAGAAACAGAACGTCAATGTACACTTTTGCGGAAATTTGACGGATATCGCTTTTGGCAGGCTGTGAGCGTTTGTGGGGCACATGGATGCACATGAACAGAGTTTGCAGTTTACATGGCCCGCCATACTTAATTCCGTTTCGGGCCATTTGTCTCCTATTACTGTGGGGCGACATGTAACAGCTTCCTTGCCGCCTTTGTGAGTTTGCAGTTTTCTCAGCCAAAATGTTAAAAACAAAGCAAGAAATGCACGGAAATCGGCGGCACGGAAAGCGGGAAAAATACGGAAATCTACGGAAAAATACGGAAATCTGCGGAACGTTTGCTTGGCCAAATGCGCACCTTTTATCCTTGGTGAATTGCACACCTTCAAAAAGTTTTTCTTGGCCGATGAACATGACAATCGCCAGTGCCAGCGCGGGAGCTGCACGTGAGATTCTTGTAGAAAAAGCCGTTGAATGCTCTGCGTCTTTGCGTTGAGCCTGCAAGAAAAGTACAGTTTTTGCTCAAATGTACGGATTTTTGCCGAGAGTCGCAAAAAAAGTGCGCTTTGGTCCAGGAATGCGTCACTTGCGATAAACGCATCTCCCTCTCCCTCCCTCTCCTTCCCCTCTCCCTCACTCTCCCTCCCTCTCCCTCCCTCTCCCTCCCTCTCCCTCCCTCTCCCTCCCTCTCCCTCCCTCCTCCCCCTTCCTCCCTCCCTTGCTTTCGCAATCCCGGTCGCGGGTTCGATTCCCCCTGGTCCGCGGCAGCTCCGGCTTGAAAATCGCAGCTGTCAAGTACAGAGCGTGCTCCTGCAGCTCCGGCTGGAAAATCGCAACTCTTAAGTACAGACACGTAGTATGCGGAGCGTGCTCCCGCAGCTCCGGCTGGAAAATCGCAACTTTTAAGTACAAACGTAGTACGCGGAGCACACTCCCGCAGCTCCGGCTGGAAAATCGCAACTTTTAAGTGCAAAAATCGTACGCGAAGTACATTCCCACAGCTCGCGGCAGCACTTGCGCAGAGCAACTTGCGCAGAGTCACTTGCGCAGAGCCACTTGCGCAGAGCAACTTGCGCAGAGCACTTGCGCAAAGCACTTGCGCAGAGCAACTTGCACAGACCAACTTGTACAGAGCACATGCGCAAAGCGCTTGCACGGAGCAACTGGCGCAGAGCACTTGCGCAGAGCAACTTGCTCAGAGCGCGTGCGCAGAGCAACTTGCACAGAGCACTTGCGTGCAGCAGCCTGGAACAATGCAACTTGCGCAGACCATTTTCGTGAGAAATCGTGCGGCGCAGTTCGTGCAAAGCACATTGCGCCGAGCAGACTCGTGCAGAGCCAACTTGCACAGAGCCAGTTGCGCAGAGCCACTCGCAAAAAGTAGCTTGCGTAGACCCAACTTTCACAGAGCCAAGCTGCGCAGAGCCATCTTGCACAGAGCTAAGTTGCGCGAGCGTGCTTTGCAGAAACTGTGGCCGCCGTGTAAGCTTTGCTATTGATTGCTTTTCCTTTTGCTTGTAATTCGTTTCGAGCTTTACGAGCTTTACTCTTCTTGTTTCAACGGATGTAAATATGTGGGATCGAGCACTACCATGTTTCCTCTCGTAGGACGATGAGATGGAGCTCTCATGTGACCATACACATTGAGCATCGCCGCGTGCGGACACGCTCGCCGCAGCGATGTAAAAAGGTGTCTCCGCGGCTGGATGAGCACCTGGGGAAAAATGCTTTCGGGCCAATTGTCCTCTAGTTTGGTGTCTTGGGTTTTGGTGAATTCTCGATCGAGGTTTCCTGGAAACTTGCCTTTACTCAGGGTTTGTGGGGAAATTCCATCTGTTTTGTCGCCGTGTATTTTGTTAAAACCGAGGAAAAAAAACAAGAACCATGAAACATCGAAACGTCCAGGCTCTCCGCGAATTTTGGTAGGAAGCATGCTACAAACAAATAGACTGTTATTACTTACTTAAGCATAGTAACGTGTATTTGGGCGGGATTGGGGATGAAACTTGCAAATGCCAAAGCTCATCCAATGACAACACGGCAAACATTGTGAATTTAACACATCGAAAAGTGCGAAACGCGCGAAAGCTCAAATAACACAAACGAACATTCAAAACTCAAAATTCGGAAAACAATAGAAACATTTGAACGACAAACGCAACGCGTAAACATTCAACAAAAAGCACAAAAATGCAAAACATCTGGAAAACACAACTGGCGCGACAAATCCGGAAAAGCGGCAACCCGAAAATTCGCAATAACCTGACAGCTCGAGGAGAAAACAGGAAAACTCGAAATTTCATCATGTTTGTGTATTTGTTTCTCATGTTTTTGGAGTTTGCACCTTGTAGCTTCAATCGAGATCCGTTTGGGAATTGGTTGCTGGCATGTTTTTTTCTCTTCATTTTTGTTTCTGTTAAATTTTGCATTTACTGCGTTCTTTTGTGATTTTTTAGATGTCCTCGAAATTCCTCTTATTTTCATGCGAATTTCCCAGAATGGGACTGTCCCCTACTATTGAATTTGATATTGTAAAGACTTACTCCTAGATTTACAGAACTTAGTTTAGCGCTGCCAACCCTAAATTTAGTATTGCCGAGACTGAATCTTCGGTTTCCAGTACTTAACTTAGCACTGGCAATTTTAAATTTTAGAATTGCCAAGGCTTAATCTCAGACTCCCACCTGTTGAAATTAAATCTTGCGGTCCTTGGTTGTTGTACATTTGCTGCCAGTGATGGTCAGGGCTGATGGCCCTCCTCTTAGTTCGCAAATGCACCGATGGAATTTGGCAACAAATTTGTAGAGCAAATTGGTGCATACATGTCTGTCATGTAGCAGCCCTCAATATATCCTAGAACCTATGTGAATGTCCTGTTTTGTATGTTTCCATGAATGTCCTGAGTTTTCTATGGTTGGTCAATGAATGTTCTATGAATTGTCTATGCGTGTTCTACGCGTTTTCTATGCATGTTCTATGTATGTCCTATGCACTTGTGCATGCACTTTTTTATGCGTTTTTGATTGTTGTGAATTATCTACGTATTTCTTATGCACTTTCCCTGGGTTTCTACGCGCTTTCTATGTGCTTTTTCAAAATGCATGAACACGTGCATAATTTCCAAAGGAAATTCGAGGACCTCGAAAGTTTGCAAGACGGGAAAATTCAAAAAAGGAGCCCAGTACATTCGGGATCGCCAAGATTTTTGATTTCGAGAAATCAAAAAAAGGCGGGGAAAAACAAATGTCCCAACATGTCAGCAGCCATGTCCCAAATGGACATTCCAAACAAATGCAGAATTCCAAGCCAAAAACAATAAGACAAAACTCAGTGTATGCTACCCACAAATGGAGCAAACAAAAACACTCAAGGTTTTTGTCCTTTCCATTCCACACCAGGAATCCCCTCAATCAAATCCTGTCCCTTTACACAAGCCAAACTTCGAGCACCTATGCTACCCGCACAAACGGAGCAAACAAACATATTTCAAGATGTTTGTCATTTCAGTTCCACACCAGGCAGCCCCTCAATCAAGTCCTGTCCCCTGACAAAAAGTCCACTCAACTTGCCCAAAACTTCGAGCACGTATGCTGCATACACAAATGGAGCAAATAGAAAACTTATCATTATGCTCTTTCATTCCGGATCGCGCGTCTGCCACCAGATCCTTGCATTTACAAATGTCTGAAAACAGCAGCGCCACCCTCCCTACCTGTTCCGCATTGCACACCTCATGCCCTCAACCAAACCCTCTTTGCGTTTCCAAACTTGCAGCGCCCCTACCCGCTCTGGATTGCGAACTCCGTTCCGGATCGTACCCGTTCCGCATTGCGTACCCCGTTCCGGATCGCTCCCCCCTCCCCCCCCCAACAAACCCTTGCATTTTCAAAACGTCTACAAAACGTCTCAAAAAAAGCAGTGCCACCCTCCTTCCCCTCCCACCCGTTCCGGATTGCGTAGTGCCCCGTTCCGGACCGCGCTTCCCCCAACAAAGCAGCGCCAGCCCCCCTCGACTTCTACCCGTTCCGGTTGCGTACCCCGTTCCGGATCGCGCCCCCCCCTCCCCCCAACAAACCCTTGCATCTCCCAAACATTACAAAAATTCAGCGCACCCTCCCTCCCCCTCCTACCCGTTCCGGAT